GAGAGCCGTGGCCTTGAATCCTTGTGTGCCGTTTGGTTTCCCTGTGCTGGAACCGTGACCTTTTTCCTTGAGACTTGCTATGCTGTTTGGAATTTCTGTACATGAAATTGATGGCTTTTTATCACTCCATTTATGGGAAATCTTGGGTTGTTTGGTTCCCCTCTCTTGCCTATATATATGAGATGTTTTGTGATGAAATGGATGGTGAATTATTGTGAGCAAAATTGCTATTGACCTGCGGGTTATTGGAAAAGCTTGCGAGCTTTGTCCGTCTTCTTTCTCATCCCCTCCGGAAATCCTGCGGGCTCTTTCCAACCTTTCTTCTCGGGCTTCTAATCTCTTCGTCTCTCCGCAAGTTCCACTCCACCTATATCTTTCTTCTAGTTCCGTTGGTAAAGTTTGTTGGCTGTTTTGGTGAAGTTGTTGGTTGTTTTGGTGGCATTTGCTGGAGGAGTTTGGTAGGACGTTGGACCCCTTTGCAGTGGTGGACCATTTGGTTTGCATATCTAAACATAATCTGAAATATATATTCCTACAATCGGTGCATGTGAGGAGTCCTCTAGTAGGATGTTCTGAGGATAGCTTTTGTTTGTTTTAGTTTGTTTCTTTTGTTAACTTTCTTTTGCTTTGGCTTTGTTGGCTGATCGCTTCTTTTCTATTCTGAAATTTAGTTGTTTATTTAGCCTATTTTGTTCTCCAAGTGGTGTCTTAAATTTCTAAAGAGCTAGTCTTGAATTTCTTTGTTCTCTCTTTGTGTTTTTGTTTCAAGTTGCTTGCATCATATGTGGGCTCCAAAAATTCGTGCCCCGACCTCTTTGCGCTTCATTATTAACAAGGAGAGTTGTAACGAGTTAAGGCTCTGGGGTAAATTTTCAGAAGGCATATTAGATTTTACATAAGACATTACCCAGAGATTTCATCCTCATTTTACGAAGACATTATAATCTGAGTTATGGTTCCCATAGACGCAAGCAAATATAGTTAATTACCGTTCCCAATAACGAGAGAGAACTCGATTAAGGCTAATTGTTAAATAAGTCAAAATTATTACCTAGCATATAATAGTAGTGATTTTAGGGTTTGATTGGTTTTGAATTTTGGAGTTTATGATTTGAAATTTATCACCATATACTTAAAGTGGATGATGAGGGAATAATGATGGGCCCGATCAATATCTTATGGTTCCATTGCCCCGAGTTGTCATGGTCCCTAATTTGCTTAGTCAAAGGAGGTAGTTAATCCAACCTAACAGAAGGAATCTTGTTGGCAACCATAGGTTGCTTCATCAAAGAATACCTTGTAGACCTGATGTTGATGTTTGTCTAAGGAGGTGAATTTAAGTAAACCTTAGCTAATAGAGGGATTTATATCTTATCGAGTGCACCCTATAATTCATTACTCAAAGGACTTTTAATCATTATGGAACATAAGGGCTTTGGCCGTGACCTTAATATAGTGGTGTCATTTTGCAACAAAACTACTCGATCATAGGGCATGTGTCCCTGCAGGTGAAAAATCATTTGAGAATGAATTATGCTAATACATCTAACAAGACATCAGCTCTTTGTGAGCTGAAGTTATTCTTAAACACATCATCCTCGCCAAACTATTGCAAAGTGTGGAAGGATTTTGGTTTTAAGCTCTTGGTGATGGATTTAATTTTAAAAATCTAAACTCTTACTAGGATTTGAGTTTAGGTCTTGAATGAATGAATAGAATTTTGAGGGCATTTTAAAAAATAAATAATTCTCTCTGGTAAAAAATTTCCTGTCAACACAGCTACTGTCGGGATGTTTGAGCAGCTTTAGAAAATTCGCAAAGCATTCTCAGATCCTGCATTTAGGAGCTTGATGTGAAGATCAGAGCATATGTGAAACTTTGCATAACGTATTTTGCACTTTCATTACACTTATATAATGTGTTCTGCATTTTCATTACATTAATACAATGTATTTTACATTACATTTGCACAATGTATTTTGCATAAATTGACCTTGAATGTTGTGCTTGCATAATACATTCGCATTTGAATTTTATTCACTATACTTGCACAACACATTTTTCCTTGCATAACATATCTTGTTCACTATTCTTACATAATGCACTTTACACATCATTATTGTATAATGCATTTTACACTATCAATATATTTGCAATATACTCGTATGATGTATCTTATAATTGTAATAGGCTAAGTGCTATATTTAAATTTAAAATCTGTTTAATGGTGTATTTGATTTGCTTGTGTAATCACTATCAATCATAATTTGAGAGTGGCTTAAACAATTTTACTATTTCCTTGAGTGTAAAATCTTAATGAGCTATGAAAACAATCAACGCTTTAAAGAACTTAACACTATATTAATTTTCTCTAGATTAGAAGGCTTGTCCATGCAAACAACATATAGGACCCGATTTACATATATCATATATCGAGCCAACTCCAAATTGAATCAGTTTATTTTTAAGCAATTAGATCATTTTGCTATATTTCAAATCAATTTAACAACAACAACATTAAGCCTTTATCCCACTACGTGGGGTCGGCTACTTTCAAATTATTTGATTATACTTTCCAATCAATTGAAATAATGCATTTTTTTTTTGTAAATGAGTTTTAAAGGTTTTGAAAGGGTATTGTCAAAGATGAATTCCTACATTTCAAGTGTTGGAAAGTATAATCCAATGATTTGAATGTGATACTATAACCATGGTTTTGAAAATCAGACCAAACCAGCCGGTTCGAACGGTTGAACAGTGAACCGGGCATGTGGCCGGTTCGGTCCTCAAGAAAAACTGGCCCAACATCAAACTGATGGGAACTGTTTTTAAGAACCGACCAGTTCAATGCATAATTTTGTTAAATACTTTAATTTAATATAAAATTAATATATTAGTTAATAAAGTCCAAAAATTATATAATAATCATTAATTAACTATATGCACATAGTTCCAACTCCCAATGTGAGCTCTTTACTCATGGAAAGAATGAAAGCTATATAAACAATATAAGAAAAACCTCCAAAGTGATGTGGGACTAAACAACTAGTTGTGTCATGTGTGTGAATGGTAGATTACTATCATGAGAATTTTTTGAAAAAAATTTGCATACAATATTCAAATAAATTTGATACATAATATAAAGATATAAATTATATATATATATTTATTATAAATTAATAATAATTTATATTAAATTTATAAATTTATATGTAAATTAAATCTATATTAAATGTGAATAAAATTTAAAAATTGGTTTAAATTTAAAATTATAGAAACTATTACTTTTGTTTTTTTAATAATAAATTTATATTTTTGCATGATAATTATATCATTATTATTCTATTTAGATAATATTTAAATTTAAAATTATAAGTATAAATTAGTTATATGATTTATATGCATAAATTATATTAAAATATTTAACATAATTAATAATAATTTATATTAAATTATATACTTATATATAAATTAAATTTATATTAAATTTAAATAATATTATGCGTGTCGGGTAAGCATTTGCTTTTTAGTCTTCCTGGTCGAATCTAAGATACGATAGACATGAGGTCTTTTGTATGCTCTCATTTTACCGGCCAAATCAAAGATCAAAGGACGCGGGGTCTTCACATGTTCTCATTCTTTTCCGACCATAACAATGATCAAGGGACGCAAGGTTTTCTTATGTTCTCGTTCTTCTCGGCCATATCTAAGATCAATGGATCACGGATCTTCAAAACCTGTTGTTTTAAGCACGAGGGCGAGATGTATGCTTGTTCTCTATTTCTTTGTTCACTTGCAATTATTGTGTCGAACAAATCATTTGGTTTGGAATGGTGGCTTGTGGTGTTATATGTGGTTGTAGGCGGCCAACAACAGACTAGTGGTTGGTCGGATGATGGGAACTGAGTTAGATGGGAAAGTATAATGAAACAAAGACTTAAAAATGGTAGTATGAAATTAATCGGGTTAGGATCGATCAAATGAAAATGAGATTGGGTTTCACTTGTAAAGGAATCGAGGATGAATCGCATGTGATCTAGAGGATGGAACGCTGGGTCGACCAAGCGTCAAAGTCTGAATTGCGAGAGGCCACGTGCAAGCGTGATTGGGAGGGTAGGTTGGAGTCGCGGGAGGCTACGTGTGTGCATCCGGGCGAGTCATGAGAAAGAGAGGGCTCAGGCTGGGGTCTCACATGAGGCGCCTGGGTTGGGGTCGCCGGAGGATGAGCACAGCAAGGTCGCAGGAGGATCGGAAGACTCGACTGAGAGTTCCTGTGTGCGACACAAAGAGATCGAGAGAGAGTCGAGTAGGAGTGAGGCTCCTACATGCGGCACAGAGAAACGAGAGAGAGAGAGAGAGTGGGGGGGGCTCCAATTTCTTGTGTGTGGTTCTTTGTGCGGCTGAGTTCGATACGGAGAGAGCCTGGGGGGTCTTCAGCTGGGTCTCTTTACGAGTACGAGTGCTATGAGCAATTATGAGGAATTAGGTTAGCATGTTGATGGGTTTGTGGTCAACATATAGCCGTAAAAAAGTAATCAATATCTAAAATATGTGATAGAAATGAGAATGCTAAGATAAATGTGTGATAAAATGATGAAGGGATAATTAATAAATCATTGTAATATGAGAAAATATTGCAGCAACCTCTATTGAAGAAAAGATGAGTGAAAAATATTTAGATGGTTTTGATATGTATAAAGAAGAATAGAAAATGTTCTAGTTAGATGAAAGATAAAACTTGTGCTAAAATTTCATGAAGAAAAAAGTGAATACTTAAGCTTATAAAATGTAATAGAGCTGCACGAACACATCATCAGCCCACCCCCACCCCACCCATCCAATATGCGACAAGGAAAATGGAATATGAACTTAATAGCCATGGTTTTCAGCCACTCCCCGTAAGCTCTTTGATACACAAAAAATGAAGTCGCACAAGTTCAAAATATCTTCCCAAGAAGTCCAATGCTTTTAAAAGGAAGGTTAAAAAAATGTAAAATTACCTGCCTGTCTTTCATGTGGTACAAGAATGTTCCACCATATGTTTTTCTATCTAAAGGCCATCCAATAGTATGAAGCACAGCGCCAGGCTTATGTTTCTCTTCTTCAATTTCCCAAACCTACACCAACATAACTTTTCTAGCTTAGATATAACCAAAAAGCTATTTATATTAGACAAGCCTAGGCATAAATGATGAAAGATGTAAGAAGACGGCAACTTAAGTTCTGAAAAAAAAACTGAGACTAAAGAATTGAAAGGACATTTATTAAAGTGCACGGTTTAGGAGATGACATGCTACAAGTTGATCAAGATTTTGACCAACTTATGGAAATTCGCACATATGTAACACTAACTTAGAACCATGCGGAATCAGGACATAATTATCAAAGATGTGGATGGAAACTTAATTGGATAAAATTACCTTGCTCATTAACTCAAGCTGAATTAAATAAATTAAAGAAATTTGATTTGCAAGAAAACAACCAAACTTTTTCACTACTTTCAATATAACTATCAAAGATACCATACAAATCAATGCAATGCAGCACCAAACCGGCAGTAGTCATGCCAGTCACGCTTAGTTTAATTAGTTATAACTCTTAATAACACTTCTACAAGTCTAAAAGAATAGTAATTCAGTCCATGTTTTCCATTTTTTAGAGTACATATAGTACAACTTCCAGTCTCCTTGAATATTTATTTTATTTTACTGCATCCATCAGATTCCATTACTCTTTGAATGTTCGGGTATCTTCATTCCATAAGCATATTTAGACATGATTCAAGCAAATCCGACCAATATTGAGACCAATCTCTCTGGATGCACAATCCAATAAAACCCCTATATGAGGATTAGCGTCACATTCGGAACATTTACTTCTCTTAAAAAACTAAAAATATGTAGTTCAAGCATCGTTTTAGGAGTTGCAGATACTAGCTCAAGAGTTAAGAATGCTATCATATTCTTTACATAGAGAAACAAACCTCATACTTGCACTTCACACGCAAACCACACAATGGCAATAAACCCATGTTATATGGGAATTTCTTAAAATCTATAGCAAATCAAGCTCTAGCATACAGAGCTATCTTTGTTGGAAAATACTACTAATTATCATTATTTCTTTCACCAAGCACATCAACCAAAACTGAAGCACTGAAATCAGTTTGTAAACTTATGAACAAGGGCAATTCTTGGTAGGATAAACAAACATGCAAAGCAAACTGACAAAAAAAAAACAAGTATCACATTCCCACTTGAAATATTAATATACCAAATAAGACTGCTGATGAAGTTGAACAATGAACTACCTCTTTAATGCCTAATGCATACGTTTGATGTTGTCCTTGTCCCTTTTCTCGAAGTTTATATTTCCTGATTAATTTCTATAATAAGAAAAGAACAACCATGTAGAACAGGAGTCAATGGTAAAGTTATTCAACAAATGCAAAAAAATTAGCTAGGTATAATCGACTATTCAGCAATTATGATATATGTTTATATGTTGACCTCTGATAATGAACCTCTACATCCTTCAGCAAGAAATGTAAGCTTCCCTGTACAATAAAAATTCAGCTATTCACTAGAAAGGAAGATTGAACAAAGCAATCAAATGATGATAAATTGGCATTGTGTAATAAAAAATTGCCAAATTTATAACTGGTCAAGAAGCACATTGATAAATCTCAAGATTACAGCTCTTAACCAGTAACAAGAATTGTAGCCAAAAACAAGAAATCAAATGGTTCAGATAATTCAAGCAAAATAAACAGCAAAGGAAAACAACCACCCCTCGGTAAGTCTACCAACATAAAAGATATTACTTACAAGATTAACAACAACAACAACAAGCCTTTCTCCCACTATGGGGTCGGCTACATGAATTCTTTTTCTTCATTTTGTCCTATTAGGAATCAAATTCTCATCTAAATCTAATAAAGAAATGCCATTTCTATATTTTCTAACTAAGTCTTTTTAGGTCTACCTCTACCTTTCTTTGCATAAGTCAAATCTAATACATCTACTATTCTAAATGGGTCATCAGAAGCCTGCCGTTTAATAGCACAACAAAGTAGGGGCCTAGTTTCTAAATGATTTTCACCTCAAGAAGTCAATTAGCATAATTGATAAATTCCAAGATTAGAGCCCTTAATCAGTAACAAGATATTTTAGACGAAAAGTTTTCAAATGGTTTAGATAATTTAAGCAAAAGAAATAGCCAATGCTTTGCTAGTGACTTCAAACGTATGCATTTTTCAGACAAGCCTTTCTCCCATGTGTAGTATTGGTTCAGACCCCTACCACTTTCAACCACCAGTGCTTTGCTAGTGACTTCCACCACATAAGCAAAATAAACTAAAAATAAAGTATAAAAAATAAAAGTGATCTCAAATTGCCACTTAGTTTTTGAATTCTTTTCACCAGAGAAAGCAAAAAATGTTGGGGCATAGATAAGTGCTGGTTTCCAAGCAAAGACTGGTTCAGCATAAGCCTCAAAACCTTCATTTTTCAGACAAGCTATTGAAATTACTAAATAATTAACAATGTGCTAACAACATCCTTCTGTAGGACAAAAATAGATCAAGAGAATTCGGTTTTACAATAAAGAAAAGAGGAATTTTGATGGCATGCCTTTTAAATCAACGCCTCTTTGAAATGTTTCCTTTCTCGATCCATCTTTTGCAATACCCATGTCATTAGTCCCAATCCCAACAACCCTGTGATTTTCATCATACAGAATCTGTCCAATTATAAAGCTTAGAACAAAAGCAAAATAGGCATGTACTGTTATCATGAAAAACATTAAGAGAAGTACCTCGCTAGCAGCAAAACCTGGATAAATTTCTACACCTAATTCTTCAGCTTTTGCAGCCATCCAGCGAACCAACTGGCTCAAGCTGCATAGATTGAAATAAACATAAGTGGCGATCTGTCAACAAATAGCAGACCAAAAAAAAAACAAACATGAAAAAACTGTAAATTGTAAGTTGAAGGCTAAAGCCAGAAAATTGGAGCATTGTGGTGGGGTTTCTTGAGGGTTTTAATTTGGTATGGGTTTATAGAATTTTCTTGAGAATTATAAGGCTGAACGAGTAATGAAGTGGTGCCGGTCAGCCAAAACAAGAAAACCAAGCAAGGGCAAGAGCAATTATAGGGGAAATGAGAAGAAATAATAAATTTATGCAAGGAATAACTATGAAAACTTGAAGGGCTTACCATAAGGAACCACAAAGATGATTGAAGGGTGATGCAGCAATGGTTGACAAACATTCAAGGCAAAGGGAAAGATCGATTATTAAATTTGTTGGTCACATTGCCTTGATTATGGAAGGATGATACAGGAATAGGGTATCAGTTCAATTGCAATTTTGGCATAAATATCCGATAACAATATTGTTAATTCCATAACAAATAAAAATTCAAAATATGAAACCAAAATACAAATTTATCAAGTCATTTTATAGATAGATCACTTGTCATAAAGATACAGTGGGGGGACATGTAACGAGCTAGATTAAAAGAATCTCAATGGCACGTTTACAAGGTTTATAACTTCATATGAACTCTAGTGAAATTAATAGAGAGAAGAAAACAAATAGGCCACCTCAAAATACAATCTGAGCAATCATTAAATGCATTAACGCACTCATCAAAGAAAGAAAATAAAGCCATAAATAAAATCATAGTAGAACTGCCACAAGGAACATCCCATAATATTGTTATGTCATGAATTGTAAAACAGTTGAACATAAGCTGTTAAGGAAGAAAATACGAACATAAGCTATTTGAATTTTGTTTCAATTTCATTAAAAATATTCTAACTTTTTTTTAGTTTCAATTAGCATTTTGATGGTTTTGATGGGTAGTTCTGGTCCCCGGTTCAAGCCAGCGAACAAGATAAAAAATTATGTAGACAGAAGTGGCTAAGGCATGACACTCTACAAAGGAAGGTCCTACTGCTTCGTCGAAGTCATTGGCTGGAGAGAAGGAAATTCATGGATTCAATTGACCCAGTGAAAGAGAAGGGGAAAGGAGGCTAGCTCGCAAGCTAGGGAAAAACCCCGCAGGTTTGTATGCAAATTCTACACCAAAACTCTCTCCAACTGCAAGAAAAAGCTATAGGGGGAAAAGGGAAAAAATATTTAATGCAAAGTACTTAAAGCACCACCCAAACAACCACTAAAATTCCTTTGAAAACCATAGAAAATAGGGACCAAATGAACAGCACCTAGGGGGAAAACGAAACATTAATACAGCAGCTAATGGGCACAAAAACCGAATGGACAACTGCCCAAACTGAAATGATAGCAGCTAGGGGGACCATGAGGTATTAATACAGCAGCTATTTGGGCACAAAAATCTAAGGGACAACTACAGCTGCCCAAACCGGAGGGACAGCAGCTAGGGGGAAAAAGAGGCATTAATAAAGTAGTTATTGGGCACAAAAATTTAAGAGACAGCTGCCCAAACCGAAGGGACAACAGCTAGGGGGAAAACGATGCATTCATATAGCAGCTAATGGGCACAAAAACTGAAGGGAAAGCTGCCCAAACCGAGGGATAGCTGCCCGAGCCGAGGGGACAACTGGCAAGGGGAAAAATCGAGGAAAATAGGGCCAACGAGGGGACAAACCAGCAGCCCACCAAGGGAAAACAAAAGAAACAAGGTGAAGGATAGGGAGAGACATACCTAAGAACACCAACCTAGCATGATCATCAGTTTTCTTCCATCATAGGGTAACCAAAATAAAAAAAATAAAATATAGAATGATAATCCTTGATTGCATTAAGAAGGCTTTCTAAGCGAAAGCGCTAGAAGAGGTGACCGCATATACCAAAATTAGTGGAATTTGGCCGTTGAAAATTTGGTCATCTTACAAAAAATTTTGACAAAAAACAAATCAATTTTTTGAATTAATTTCACTTGACATTAACAAACAAATTATAAACAACTCAGTCATCAACTTCAATAGTCTTATCCCAACTATTTGGGCAGCTTTACAAATCCTGATTTTTTCATTCATTCATTATGACTAAAAGTGCAACCAAAAGCATTAAACATATTCTTTAAAATCATTTTGAACATATGACTCTTAATGGCTTGGATTTTTCTGCATGTTGACCTGAAGACGGAGATTTCCTTTCCCTCAACACTCTTGAGAACTTTGAGAGCAAGACAAGCAGATGGGCTTAGTCCTCTATAATTTATTAAGGCTGAGATAATGGTTGCAGAGTCCATGGAGTCAAATAAATACAATAGAAAGTGAAAGAAGCTGACATAGCCAAGGTTTAAAAACATAAAATCAAGAATCAAAGCGTTTTGTCTTAGCAAGGCGAGGAGTAAGTCTCAAAATGAGAGAATAAACTACTTAAAAATTATAACTAAGTAATAAAAATAACATAAATAAATAAATAAATTATGAGCATAATTAACTATTTGGAAGTAAATGCCATTGAAATACCAGTAGCAGCATCTATTTTCATCAGCATATCAATAGATGAGTGATCAAGAAGCTGAAGATGATGCAAATTACCTTTAAGTTTTCTTTTTCATTAAGATAGTAATTTAGATTAACTTTTGAACCCCTTGATTGATATCAAGAATTGTATCCTTGTACCTTTGTTCCAAGATATTCTAAGGAAATCAAACTAGTTGGACCCTTTCTATCATGTAAAGCATCATTATCATAATGGATTTCTACAAAATCATGTGAATACTTAAATGATTTAGTAGTAAATTATAGCATATTATTATTATATGAGAATGGTGTGAATTCATAAAACAGCGTGAAGTGAAATCATAAACTTGTTAATACTTGTTTTGTATTTGCCAAGTTTGCACATGATGAGAGATCATCAGGATGACCCAAGGAGGTTGAGAATGAGTGCATGTTCAATGTTTGAAGGCCTTCAAGAAATAGTGTACAAGGAGTGGATGTAATATTTGGATGCTTGTTTCATGGCATACTAATGAAACTAACTGCCAACAGAAATATAAAGGCTATTGGGAATAGCATTGCTATTATGACCGATAAAAGTGCCAAATCATGGAAGGGCATGAGGGTCTACCACTACTACTACACTAGCTATTGGAAGTATATGAACTTTTGGATGTGCCCTTCATACTTCATATGTTGACAAGCGGAACAAATGCATTATAAGCATTATATATATATATATATATATATATATATATATATATTATTGATAGAGAAAATTCAACATGAGTATAAAGTCACTATGATTGGCATCACTCCGTTGGCCCTAAAGATCTTGATTGTTGAGTTCAGGCTTTCCTTTTTTCTAGCTCGTAGTGCTACAACGTCAAGGTTGAGCTCCATCTAAGCCTTGTGCTTGATGTCTTTTGATTAACAATCCCCAACGTACAATGGCATCCTCAAGTAAGCAAATTTTTCTTTGCCTTCTCTGACCATGGAGTCGCTCTCTCAAGTTAATTTCCCGTCACTCTTGCATAATCATTCGTCATCCAATGACCCTCGAATTCTTTGGGGAATAATTTCAATTGTTCAGTTATATGTCCATTATTAAACTATTCGGCATGTTCTATAACCCTGATGACTCATATGTATAATCCTTTATACATGTTGTGTTAAATTGAAAGTATATGTAAGGGGCAATTCGGTAAACCTTGAATTTCATCGTCTCTTATAAAGATCTAATGGGCAAAGAGATTATATTCTTCATTGAGGAAATTGATGTTGGATCTACTTCCTATAATTCGCTTCACTGAGCTACCGTGTGAGTAAAAGGTGAGGCATAGGAAAAGCTGGCGGGAATAACGACGAAGGCAAAGATTAATGGGAAGGAGAGAGAATATACCTAAATCGGGAGAAATGTGTTTGATGGAGAGATCAAACAACACGAGGATGACCGGCAATTCAAAGAGCACATGGAACCTAAGGCTTCAAATGAACACCAAACAGTTCCATACAAGGTACATACAGTTAATGGTAAATCAATGTTTGCAAGCACAATCGTTATAGATGGCTATTCTTATTCTTAGACTTATTTGTTATAGCAACCTAAACACACTAATTTATAGCTTGTTTGCAAGTTTTGATGTCATTCTTTTTTACTCCTTGGAGGTAAGAAACGAGATGAAAATTTTAACCAGACTGAGAATGCTCCCCCCTTTCTCAAAAATCTGCTTTGGACGTGTAACCGTAGTAGTGGCAAATATTTTAGAAGTATTTAACAATCCATCTGTGTCTGTATAAGGTGCATTTGACGGACATCTGCTCCAGTACATATGGCAAAGGAACATCCTATGACCAAAAGTTAATTTCCAAGGGGATTAGTGCATTGTCGTACTTTTAGAAGCAGCATGGATAAAAACATGTCTTAAAGAAACTTCAACTTTTAAAAATAATGCAGCTAAAAATTGACGCAAGGAAAAAGTAGAAATATAAGCCTTTCCTGCCATGTGTAAATGTATATTCAAGGGAAAGGCTAGTCAGCCAATAGCAAGCAGCAAAAGGCATGTGGAATTTTACAGGAATCTGAAAAGGCATAATTTTGTGATCAAACATTGGTCCAATTCAAGCAGTAAAAACTTTAAAGTAAACAACATCAATGTTCTTTTTCCTGTTTTTTCATTATACCCATTTGCACTCATTGTAAGTAATTGATGCAGCTAGAACGACAAATATAGACTTGTTATGCACCTGATTACATAGTTTCCTTTATTATCAAAAGGAGATGGAAGTGATAAATGTTTATTCTCTGTTAGCAGCCAAAACTTGTCAGAAGATACTGGGACTTCAATTGGAGCCTACAGAAAATCAAAGCAAATATCAGAAACAAAAGCAGATCATTGATTCATAATGAAATGGGTAGATACAACAAGCAGAAGTGATGGATTGCATGGCATGATATGTATATAAACAAATATTTTACCCAACAATTTACAACAAGCTTGGCATTGAAGATTACCATACTTGATAAATTACTTGATAGAACTGAGGAAATGCAAAGTTCTGATGCTAGCTTACCTTATGTTAGAAAAATAAATGTATATGATTAATGGAACAAAAATTATTTTTTTTTTAATAAAAGAGGGGAAGAAGTGCGTATTTTGCAAGTCCATCACATGTGTAAAGGATCTAGAGGCAACACAATATCAAAAGAGAGTGAGATGAGAGTGATGACCGTCTACCAAAATTATAAGGCCCTGTACCTCCATTCCAACATAACAACACCCAACAACCAAGGAACTCTAAAGAAGAAGCAAGAAGCTAAGAAATGAAGGAGATGACATTGCCACCTAGCCAACCAAAAAAATGAAGAGGAAACCCCTGCAAAGTAAAGACAACACGAGTAACACGCCAATGATAAGGGAGGATTCAAACCTCCAACCATTCGCCAAAGAAAATTAATTCCAAAAAAGAGAGCAATGATCCAGGAGGCACCAAGCACAAGAAGCAGCATGAAAAATATCATGCATAACAAGCTCTTATCAAGGTTTTTTAAAAAAATTATCGAATTTACCAGTTCATGTAATATCCACAAATACAGGTAAAGAAAGTATATTTTCTTTAGTGGAGTAAATTTAATATTGACAGTTGCTTTAAGTAAATTATTACAATTAATATTTAATAGTATTATATTAAATTAAATGAGTTAAATTAACCGGATAGATGCTTATATTAAATGTGTAAATTGGGAAATTCAGTTATACAGTGGGCCCCTATTCCAAAAGAAATCCTATATGCCAACCGTAACACTTGGAGTGGTGTTCGGTTGGGAAAAGCAAAGGAATTTTTACGAAAGCAAGTGTAGAGTCACTGTAGAGAAGTTCGGCACTTTCCTGTGAAGTAGAGTGTGGCTCAGTGAGGGGAAATCGAAGGGCCGGCGATTTCTATTGTTGAGTTTGAAGCAGTAAAGGGTTCGGGAGAAGCGGAGCAGTAGCATTGGGAGAGAAAGAAGGTTTGCGGCTGAGTAAATTACATAAGTTTTTATTTTGTTTAATAATAGAATTTGGTTAATATTAAAGTTGGTTTTTGTATTAAGTGTAGAATCTTTATTCGGTAAAGGAAATAACACAGAAAGGAAGAAGAAAATTTAAGAAAGAGGAAATAAAGATAAGCAATTTTGATATATGCATAATTGTCATATAGATTTCCAAATAGTAGTGAAAGTCTTTGAAGATGTTGTATTTAATTGTGTCATAGCCTCATAGGTATCACTGATTATATGCAAAAGGAAGGTTACGAGGTAGATGGTTATGAAAGTAGAAATTTATAGTATACAATTTATTTGAATAATAAATTATAGAAATCATAGAATTGGAGAGGTGATTGTAGGTAACTTACAAGCGTAGAAGAGTAAGAAATAGAGGATTCGGAGGATGAGACTATGTAGTCTATGAGGTTAAGTTGTTATAAATGTATAATTTACAAAATGCATGATTATTATATAATATATATATATAATCACTTGATTTATTTGAAGTGATAAATGCATTATGAATATTCCAATAATGAAAACGAATATACATCCAAGTTCTCACGTAAGAATGATTGCATACCTGTGAGATTGAAGTTTAAAATAAGATTTATTATGGTTGTTTCAATATTTTTCTAGTTGATAATAATTTGGAAAGAGATTAAATTTAATGTTGTCAACACATCCTTGTATGCAAGCATAACAATAGACATATTCTAATGAAATTTTGTACATTACAAATCAAGTATGAATTACTATATTGTGAAATCCATAGAATATAAAAAAAAAGTAAAATATTAGCTATAAAAATAATACGATACTTGAAATTACAGGTGGGGAAAAAGGAACCTCAAGGGTAAAAGAGACCCAAGATATGATATTTGTATTATATGTTGGGCAAAAGGGACTCTAGAGACATGATATCTACATAGCAGATGGGGCAAAAGGGACACCTAAAGAGACAAAAGAGACCTCTAAGTGGTTCAATGACGATAATGTCAAGTTTACCTGGGCTCCATTGAACATTCTTATGAAAGTTTAGCTAAATCTTTAAAATACTAATATTGATATTTAGTATAAACTTCAAAGGAAGTAAATATTAATGCTAAATATGATTTTATGTTGTTTTATAAATAATGTGACGTGAAACCACATAGGAATTGCACGTAGAAATTTATAACGATTGAATTAGGCATCGCAACTTAAACTTAATGTTTCACTTTGAAAAGATTTTCGAATTTAAAATTGTTTAAATTGATATGGCAAGTAACCACACAATTGAAGAACAAGATCTCAAAATAATATCAAGAATATAATGAAAACAAGTAGCGCAACAAACAAACAATTCACCACGTAACAAATAGAGAATTCACCTCGAGTTTCCATCACTCACACTCTTTAAAGGTTAGCGGAAGAAGAATCACCACAATCCGGAAGATGTCACCACGAAGGAGAGGAAGCCGAGGTAGAGGTCTAACGAAAGTTAGCCGGAGGAGGGGCTATGTGTAGACAACCGGTGATCCACCAACGTCCGGAGGGAATATGCTTGACTTCTTATCTTGCAAGAGAGCTCATGGGATGAGAGGAATTCCAAGAAGGTGGGCAAGCAAGAGGGCATGCCAAGTGAGGAGGGTATTAAGGTTTGTGAGGTCTAGGTTTGGCGTTATGGAAAGAGCATTAAATCTGAAATTAATTTCAGATTAAATTAAATGAGGGAAAAGAATTTGAAATTCAAATTCAAATTCAAATATGGGTTAGGGGAATTAGGGTTATTAAATCCTCTTTAGAATTAATTACCAAGGAGGTAATTAATTAAGAGAATTAAATTAGGGTGGAGGGAATGATTAGAATTCAAATTTTGAATTCAAAATTTGGAGCAATGGGAGGGGGCCGGCAGCATGGGTGGGTGTGGGGAAATTGGGGAGGGGAATTAAAGCTTCCTAATTCCTTGGCTCACTTTAGAAAAAAGGATAAATAATTCCAATCTAATTTAATCTTAAATTAGACTCAAATTGAAAACTTTTCTAATTTTGCGTGGTTAATTTAGGAAAGTATTCAAAATTCAAAATTTGAATTTCAAATAGAATGAAACCTTTCCCAAATTATGTAGGCTAAATTAGGAAGAGCTTAATGAAGATTGAAATCAACATTAAGAGGGGGAAAAGGGGTGTGGCCGGTGGTGGGCTTGAGAAAGAGAGGGGCTTGGCTGGTGGGGAGAAAGGGAAGGGAGGATGTGTGGCCGGCGGTTTAGAACGGGAGGGGGCTTTGCCAAGGTTGGCCGACGGGTGGGGTGAGGTTGTGTTGGTCGGCGGTGGGGAGGAAAGGGAGGGGTTTGACCAGATAAAAAAGGAAGAGTAACGACGAATCGCAAGTCCCATAATCCACTGGCGGCTGATGGGCGTTGCAAGATCCTCTCCTAGGGTTTCTCCTCTCAAGAACTAATAAAGAAATCAAGCAAGAAAATCTGAAATTTCATTTCATCGACATCAATCCAAATACAAGACCAAGGACCTACTATATAGGACTCAAAGAGAAAGAAAAGATGATGCAATCAAAATTATAGGAAATTATGATTGCATACAAAGAAGCGTCTTTCTTTCAAAAATGACTTATTTTAACAATATATCATAACAAAACAACTTAGACAAAACATAATGTAACTTTTATATTAAAAAGACGACACATACAAGCTTATAACATAAAACACCTAAAGAAGTTTTTCTTTGATTGAGAAGAAAGATACAAATGGGGTGGTCACTTGCGGAGAGAAGAATGAGATAAGAAGCCCAAGACGAATTCATAGAAGAAGGGGAAGACGAAGAGGCATAGCTCGCAAGCTATCCAAAAAACCCTCAGGTTTTGTCGTTCAAAAAACATTCCATAATCTCTTCTTTTTTATGCATCAAAACAACCATTATTTATAGGTGCAAATAGGAAGCCAGACAGCCCAAACAGCCTTCAACCAAACCAACCAAAAAAAGGGAGACAAAAGGCCAATAGGCTGCTCTAGGAGCAGCATCCGAAGAAACCACACGGGGGATAGGAACGGGCAGCCACGGGGAACAGGAACAGCCGTCCACGGGACAGGAGCCAGGCGGAACAAACCGAAAGGCCAACAGAGAGGGAGAGAGGGGATGAACCAGGACATGCATTTATTATATAATAATGAGTTGATTTAAGTAGAAGAACACAGTAGCTCACCAAAAGAAGCAGTCTAATTCGAGACAACCAAGCCCACAACAACACAAAAATCAAGGCACATCCATTGTCCCCGCCTTTGCCTACATCAAAAGGACTAAAATGCCCATAGGGCTACAACTCAACTCAACACACAAGAAAGGGTACAAACATAAATAAAGAAAATCTGAACTAGTACATAAAATATCAAATATATAAGCTCCTCATCGTAGCCATCAAACTACGATGCTTCTGGCGGTAGACATTCCAGAATCTCCTACCGATGTCCTCATCATAATGTCAAGTTTGATTAATTTATGATTTCAATGTTGTGAATTTTATAATCATGTAATTTAACTGTTATTTAATTTGCATAACTTATTGAGCCTAATAGTTCATCAATTATTTTATGCTGACTATTATTACAGGCAAAGGAAATGGAAAACTTAAAACATAATAGGTTCAAGTTTATTTCAATTTATGTTCTTTTGTTTAACATTATTGGTGAGTCTACATCATAGGTATGTAGACTATTCAGTATTGTATTCTCTTTTGGTTTCTCTTGGTGGCATTGTACCTATTTATGTGATAAAATTTGGATTAATTAGATGCTTTCGTGTATTTAATAAATGAATTTATTTGTGGTTGTTTTATTCAACTATTACATTGTTCAGAAATGGAAAAGGTAATGAATGAATATTACGTTCATTTTTGTGGTATTCTACGTTACTGTTAAGGGGTATTGTGTTGTTGTATAGTTCAATTGGTCGTACCATGAATCAAGCCCTTAAGGGTTAAAAAAAAAGTTGGCCTAACAAAGAACTAGAAACAAAATACTCAAACTAAAGGTCAAATTGATAAATCTTCAGCTTGCTCACATCTTTAAAGTACCACCTAATTCTTAAAATGACCCAAAATTACTCCAATTTTTTGTTCAGATGTCAATATGTCAATAAAAAGCCAAATCAAATCTGTTAGTCATCTCATTTAGAATATAATTTATGGTATTAAACCAAAGCAAATAGAAAAGTCATCACTTTTATTATATTAACAAACGTATTAGCCTTTGAATTCCAACAAAATATTTTATTTTTTGCTTAATCAATTAGTAAATAAAAATATATGAAATTAAATTGAAAATTATTTTGTTCATATATTTTCTTATAATTTTGTTTTTTTTTTTAAGTTTGGCAACTAACTACACTATTATTGTATATATGATATCATTTAAGTAATTATAATATGTTTTTATATTTATTAAAACATCATAATTCAACCTCCGGTTGAATGAACCTTTCCTTAGATTTCATTTTTTGTTTAGTTATAAAAACTTCAATCCGCATTAGTATGTAAGAAGGCACAGGAAGAAGGAAATTCCAAGATATCCAAAGCTATACCTCAAAGGTTATGCCCAAAAGAAGATAAGGAGATGACAAAGAGGAACTCAAGAAATCCAAGATTCCCACCACTATGTTGGTCAACAAGTGGTTATTATCTAAAGTAATAAGAAGGCTCAATAATCCTCTTCCTCTTTTCAACAAGGAACCTTGATTTAATGGTGGATAAAAAAATCAAATGATAACTGAAGTCCTAAAGTTGAGTTTCAATAGCTACATATACTTAGCGCTCATCCGTCTCAATTCCAATAAAGGTAAACAAGCTCATCATGACATCAGTTTTTTTTTTTTTTTATCCTCAATTTGAAGACTATGCTTTCTTCAGTACTTTCTTTTAGCTAATTTTTTTCTAATGGTTTTGCATAACTCTATATCTATATGTGCATGTATATGCGTGTGTTTTGCATAACACACAAATATACATGCATACAAGTTGAATGTTAAAACATATCCGCATACAAAATGAGCTCAATGTATCAATGTTTGATCTTGGTCTACTAACTTAAATAGTGAACTTGACTCAACAGCTCCTACCTTTAAAAAGCTGCGTAAACTATTGTTGATATATCTAACTTCTAACTTTAATGAGTTTTGTGTTAAATTGTTCAAAGAAAAGTTTTTAGTGAAGGAAAAGTGCAGTTAATCTTCTAAGAAAATTTAAAAGTTTATAAATTAACAAAATCAATTCATCGATCAACAAAATTCTGAATCAACAATATATATATATATATAAGTGATATTTAATGAAGAGACAGTGTAGTGACGAGATTAGGTGGGGAGGGGATATTGGAAGCCATTACATCTCAAATGATCTCTATAAGAGTATCTAATCAAGCTAATGAGATAAATTGAAACGTTAAATGGACTATAATCAAGCATTGTCTAAACAAGTACATTGTTATACAACAAAGGAGCTATTTCAAAGTTTTAAACACATAATTAGGCCAATGCTAGATTCACTCTGTTATTAACTGCAGTTTGTGATTGTATTCAGACTTTGACTAAGTGAGAGAACAATCCCTAGTATTGTATTTTTTTTAATCAATTTATCTCTTTAAAACCATGAAAAATATATAGAGACCAAGGATTCTTTTAGCTCCAAGTCTAAAGAAATGGCAACACAAATCAAATATGAGAAATCTTTTAAACTTGACAATGCTAACAGTAATTTGAATCTCAATGACACAATCCTCAATAATTTTGCAACAGCTTTTGGCTCCTAAAATAAAAACTATTGCAATCACCCTCCTTGGATTTAGGGTTGGATCGCATCAATAGTACTCCTATATTCAAAAATGTATCCATAGCTCTCCAGTGAGCTCGAATTTGATAGATATTGGATCTCAATGAATGGGCCTAGGTCCTCTGAGGGATATGAGGTAAGCTTGACGTGTCTTAGGAATAGTTGTAATGATGGGGCAGTGGTGAATAGCTTCTCGAGTATGGGCTTGAAGAGTAGCTTGGGTATGGAGTGTTGGAGAGCTCAATTGAGAGATTGAAGAAGGGAAAACGAAAGGCAAGAGAGGGAAGGAAGTATTTAGGAGGAAAGAGGAAATAGGGAGATGAGAAGGATATAAAGGGGGGAGGGGGATGAGGCTTGGTGGGAGAGAAAAAAAAAAAGAGAAGAGAGGGACTTGGCCACAAAGTATCATCGTCAATAGCATTGGTTAATTTACATCCTAATGATGCCTCTATGTATAGGAAGATGACCATTATAAGACCAAGCAAAAGATTATCTTATCCGAAAACAGGACAGGAGTAAAACAAGGAATAAAAACCAACATAAATTGTCAACTGCCTGCAATCATCATGTTTCACACTCAATAACTAACGATTGGCAATCAATAACTTTATGCTCCTGAGATTAGAATAACATTATGCTTTACATATTTCCTGGGATGTGCACAAACTGCTTAAGTTAATTTGCGGTGTATTTAGTTCAACATGAACAAAAAAACTGGAAAATATCAGCTCATTTTGTTGGTTTTGTCTGAAATTTGTATTTTACCCACAGCATACAGATCATTGGCAAAATACATTAGCAATGCTTCTGCATATTTTAATTTGGAAGGCAGTATATAATGCCTACCTTGAATTCCAAGTTAGCGTTAAATCCGAAAGGCTTAGGCTCCAACTGCAAAAGCAAATAGTTATTTGGGCAACGAAGATGGTCAAAAAGAAAATTACCAGCTTGGAATGCAATGGACATTTCTATGGCTTGACTAATTATTTCATCATCTGTCCATTTGATTTCATTATTTCAATAAGTAATGCAATGCAACATAACAATTACATTTGGATGAAAGCAGCATGACAAGTAGATTTTCACAGAAATGATAATAAGCAATAAATGGAACGTTATATATCATCCCTTCAATCGAACAGCACAGATGCAGGATGCATTGGTCAGAAATTGGTCGAACCTAATCTTATTTCAACCTATCAGATTTAAGAAACCAGTTCCTCTTTACAATCTGCCATAGTTGAGACCTGAGTAAACAACAACGGCAAAGAAAAAAAAGGTGCAATGGCTGCTTCTCATCAAATAATCTCTATAGCCTACACAAAAAAAGAATCAACAGCCTTCAACACTACATCTATTCCGATAATCCAAGAAGATTTGCAAGCCAATCTAGAACTACAAATCTTTCAGACCCAACATTGTACTATGAAAATGGCATATATGCATGAAATAGATAAATACTTTAAAAACAATGAATACTGGCAGTGAGAGGACTTGCCCACTTCTGAGCCTTTCTCCAGGACACAGACCGATAAATCCTTTTTCCTCTCCAAGCACAGCTGCTTCAACCGTATGGCCGCCGATAGGCCTGCTGGCCCAGCTCCAACGATGACAACATCGTAATGCAGTGACTCCCGACCACCCGAACCGCTGCAAAAAGCCCTCCTCCCACCGATCGTACAACCGGTTATCGATTTTCGCAAATTCGTGCAGTTGTAAGAGAGTTCAAATAAAAATAAGGATTTCGGAGATATCGCGAGGGCGGAAAAAGGAGAAGAGCCGCTTGATAAATTGGGGAGGATTGGAGAGTGTTTGGAGATGGATTTTATCAGGATATTTGATATGGAAAGAAATCGAAACATCGGAGCTGCTGGAATCTGGGCACTGCCGATTAGAGAGAAATAGAGCGGATTGGGGAAGAAGAAGAGGAAGTGAGGAGTGGAATGCGGGAGAGGAATTGACTCGTGCGGGCACGAAGCACGGCGGTGGCATTCGTCGTGTTCCTCAAACACGAGACACCGCTACAGAGCCCTATTCTGTCCACTTGCTATTTATATTATTGCTTTAGATTACATCGCCGCTTATATGTTAGGCGGATAATATTTGCAGGCTTGATCTGATGGTAGATAATTGTTGGATGGCTGCCAGATCAGTCAGGTTGCCATAATGCCATGTGGGCAACATAACATAATATAAGAATCCGGTACACATTTCTTGAATCATTTAAAAGATTATTTATTTTAATAATATTAGATATATTATCAAGGTTTTAAAAATCGGATCGATCGAAAGAAGAAGATGTTCACGATTTGACCTATTCGAACGGTTGAATACCCACTCAATTCCAGGTCCAATTTTTGACCTGAAAAGACCAACTTGGACGTTTTTGGTGTCTCGTGATCATTTTTCGACGTTCCTGACTCAATTTCGACACATTCAAAGCTATTTGGGGCTCCTACATGCAAGATTAGATTTTGAATCACATTGAAAATTCTCCAAAGTCTGTGACGCATATTTTCGGACTCCTGGAGCTTCGACATCCGAAAATAGGGGGCAACTGATGTATCATCAATAAATTATCTTGATATGACACAAATCTCGATGCAAAATTAAGCCGGAAACTTCAAATATTAAATATGAGATCATTCGAACTCCGATTTCATCAACCTTATTATCAAACTGAGCATCTCGGAAATACAAACCCAATGACACTAAATTCGACTAAATTCGAGCCCAAGTGAGTCAAAATCAAGGACTCGAAGCGCTGTCAAAAAGTTTGAACCATAATTTGAGTTACCAACGGTTTCCAAACATAATGTGCTTATAGTCGAATTGAGCGGCTCGACGATACGAATCCAATGAGCCTAAGATCGTAGAATTCCGACATCATTAAGACATTCAAATGTCTGACTAATGGTACGCGATCAAGGGATTTAATATCGGCAATCCATCCTATCACTCCCTATTTACCCAAGATCTCTCACCTGTTTACAATCTATAAATTGGTCAGTGTAACACATATATCAGTCAGTATTCGATGTATCACGTGCTATAAGATCGATACAATGAATCAATGTATCAGTGGATCAGTAGTATCGGTATCGGTATCTATAGTATCATTGAATCAATGAATCGATGCAATTTTGAGTGACATGTACAGTATGAAATATCAATGAAATCATGCAATGACAGGAAACTCATAAATCCGTACAGTAAAGCCATTCGATATCAATAAATCAATTCAATATCAGTAAATCCATTCAAAATCCATAATCCAATTCAATATCAATAAATCAGTTAATATCGATAAATCAGTAAATCCATAATGAGATCATAAGAACAATACTTTACACATGCTTTCCAGTACAGTGGTCTTACTCGACAAGTACAATCACTGGCTATTAAGACGTTTTTCAATGTTAGTATGTTAGTAATCCGTTGGCTATAATAGAGTCGCACCCTTGCCCGTCGGCATAAACTCCATATGACTCCCAATCGTTGTATCACGTGAACAATAGAGGATAACACCAAACCCGTTTTAAAGGAAAGCTCGTCGGCCCACCATCTTGACAGGTCAATCTTCAACCAACGGTTCAACCAGCCTTTACTCAACAAGTAAAAGACATGGCTATTACAGCGTTTTTCAATCTTGGAATATCGATGTATCGTTGTATCTGTTGGCTCAATAAGAGTCATCACACTTGCCCGTCGGCAGAATAATCTCCGTATGACTCCCTTCAGTAATCACGTGATCAGTAGAGGATAACACCAAACTCTTTTTAAAGGAAAGCCCGTCGGCCCACCATCCTGTACAGTTACACATCTCCAACCAACGGTTCAACCAGTCCTTACTTGTCTTTCACACACACATTAAACAGTAATATAACAACAATTTCAATCATATAATCACATTCATCATTATCATCAACGCATTGCAACCAATAAACATGATTTAGCTCAATGTAGAAAACACCTTAAAATATCGTATAGTAGACAGAAGTCGTTGTAAAATGCACAGATCCAGAAAATTACAAAATTAGTAGAAATCGCATAAAACAACGATTCAAGACTTTACTTGTACTGAATCAATATTTTTCAACATCTGGATAATTTTTTATTCGATAAAAATCCACAAAAATATCTCAAAATATCTCAAATCCTCAATTTATCAAGCAGGATCGTCTAGGACGATGCCCAGATCGTCCCGGGACGAACTCCTCTGGACACGGATCGTACAGACGAAAATTAATTCCAATTTATTTCGTCCCTGGACAAAACTCTCGGGTTCAGTTCGTCCCGACGGTTCGTCCCGATGCACCCAGCAGGTTCGTCCAGACGAACCTGCATTTTTACTCTGTTCGTCCAGACAATTCGTCTGTACTAACCATACAGATTTTCACAATTTTCTTCAGTTCGTCCCGTACTAAGGCCAGTTCGTCCGGACTAACAGCACTCACAAAAATGAAAATTGAGGGGTTTTAGATGAGTGACACCATAATTCTTTTCGACGTTCAAGTGACACCAGAATTCTGCCCGATCTCCAAGTGACGCCGGAACTCTGCCCGACGTTGTAACTGGATTTCAATGTAGAAATGATTCATTGTAATTTGATCGTCCTAAATTTCAAGGACGATCGGCCTCTTGTATCTTAAACAAACACTAGTGAAACTTTTACAACTGGGCGTGGCCACGTGGTTTTTTTCCCTTTACAGGGTTTTCCACGTAAAAATCATGGTGTTATTTCATTTCATGTTTGTGTGCTGACTATTCGTACAATGCTGAAATGTAAACTTTATAACTCTATCACTGCGTATATTCTAGCCTGCAACAAGAACTTTTATCTTACTATAATGGATAAATTAATTTTAATTTGAGATAATGAAAATTCATCATCTCTATAATTACATAATATGAGAATATAATATAAAAAATTAAAGATCACTTTTTGATGCAAGGTGACAAATATGACCTCCGAAAAAAAGAAAACCTCGTAATAATTTTAAATCTGCCCCCACTTAAATTTGACATGCTTTAAAAAAAATTTTGAAAGTACTTATTAACGCGCGCTCTCTCTCTCTCTCTCTCTCTGTGTGACGAATCATAGAAAAATAAGATGAGTCATTAATGATCTGCTGATTGGTAATAAATTAGCCAATATAAAATTTGACAAGTTCAAGAAAAAAAAATTCAGAGAAAGAGTAGAATTATGTATAGCTTATTCCTTACTAATTACAGGGAAAACTTGGCAAAAAGCGGTATTAGAAGCCTGTTGAATGTACATAATGGCTTTATAATGATAATATAATCATAAGGATCAATTGTAATTAACATGAACCTAAGTGTAATAATATGCTGGATGTTTTTATTAAGAAGGGCAAAGACTTCCGAAAGCAATGATACATAATAAGTTGAGTCCTCTCAAATAAAATTTCTCTTGAATAAGACATCACATATGATATACTATAACATCACTGTTGGGGAAGATGCGGAGGATCAAACACCATAATGATGAAACAAGCATTGAAGTAAAAGTATCGGATAAAGCACATCAGAATTTAATGTGGAAAAATCAAAATAGGAAAAAAAATCACGAAATCACACCACACCACACCACGAAATCAACTATGAAAATTGAGAGAAATAAGTATAGATATCTCTTCTCTCTTACTCTCCTTACTTCTCTTCTCACATACATCATTCTCAATGTCTAACTAAGTCAAAAAATACAAGAGAAAGTAAGTTATAATCCACAAGGGATGCAAGGCTTGAGAAAAATAAGAAAAACACTCAGCGATGTGACGCTCAATCTTTGTCTTGACTCGCTGCGGCGCCATATCTCGATTGCTTTAGTGCTCTTCTCTCTGTCGTTCAATGTCGGGGCGCTCAGGAACACAACGTCGGGGCACTCAAGTACTAAACAATGAGGGTTGTACAAAAAAAAATTGTTTTGCGCCCAAACCCAAGGAGGGTGTAAACCACCCGCACCCCCCAATGTACACGACAAGCTTTGAAGATTGAAACCACAGAATAATCAATTTGATCAGCATAATCAGATTCCACACATAACACAATAAGGTAATGTTTATTTAAGTCCTCTATGGGTAATGGAGGATTATGGGCTAACTGAGCAACTTATAAATGATGGGTAGAGCTGGCAGTGTTCATGAGAACTTGGTGAGGCTATAATCAAGGGGGAATGACAGCATGATAATAATGAAGTACTGCATATGTAGCATCAAATGGATCAATTGCATCATGTTTTTGATTTTATAGTAGTAGAACTCCAATTTCTTGTGATAGTACTCTTTATAGTTCGATCCTTTTTACAACTTGAAAATCTTTCAGACTACATATAAGATCATGCAAAGTGAGGCATGGATAGCTTTCATTATCTAGATTTTACTATCGTTGATTGTGGGATTGATTGACGACTACGAAAAAATTATTTAAACTATGTATGGAATAGTTCCCACAAATCACATAAATTTATGGTCACAAACCATCCAAATATTTCTTGCCCAACCTCCCAAATCATATGGCACTCAATCGTGGAAAGAAACAAAAACTAACCCCAAGAAATATATCAAATAGAACATTGGTTAGACTACTTTATATAATCATAAATTTATATTTTGGTACAAATTCAATACAAAAATTGTTCTTTTGAAATTAAAAGTAATTTGCATTTCTCAAATAAAGCCTTACATAAATAAACATGTGCTCCAATGAACACTCTATTTGGGACGGCTCACGACAGAAGTTGTCAATAAAACTAGTTTAAAAAAGTTTATTAAATATTTCTTTAATAAAAATTTTAATAATCATTTTTGTTTTAATTTAAAAAATAAAATCACATTGATTTAAAAATAATATCTATCAATAAATATCATATTTTATAAAAATATGACTGCAATTTTTAAATATTGTCGATGAAGAAACTTTGGGGATACAGAACTTTAAGAGGAAGAAGCAAAATTTGACACAATAGTCCCAACCATTCAGCAGATCCCATATTTCAGTATTTTAAATTCTCTTTCCATCAACATCAGAGCATAATAGATTAAAAAAAATGAATACAACAACTACAACCCTACATAGGGCAAATTATTAGGTCCGGATATCAAATTAAAATTTGACATGCGAATTGCGCTTTGACTGTGCTTTATCTACGCTTTTGACTTGTTTGGCTTAAAATTCTGCGGACACGTGTACATTCCATATGTCAATATTTTATTGGAGTCCGAATGTATCTCTACATCCGATGTTCGGACCTAATAATTTTCCCCTACATAGGGTCTTACAAAAATTTCCTCTCTATCACTCCAAACTGACTGTTTTATCTCTCGATATATAAATCAACGTACTCTTACAGAATCATCATCAGGTTCTTCAGAGCCTGCATCATCAACAAGCTTCTCGAGTGTTTCAATATCGCCTGATTCAGAGAGTGTGTGCAAACGGAGAGTATCTGCATCCTCACTACAATAAAGATGAAATAAGTAACGGTGTTGCAGAGCTTACGACAAGGAAAGATTAGAGAATGAGTTCATTTTGCTCGAACGTACTCTGTCACTCCAAAAATTTCTTTAATGACTAGCGAATTGTCTCTTGAGCAGAAATCCGGAATCTGGTTTCAAGAGAGAGGATGATTAAGAAACTATTTGACAGGAAAGAATCCAAGCATGTAAATCATTAGCAAAAAAGTTGCAAATTTTTGTAAGTTCAGAAGATTGTGATATTTTCCCCAGAAGATTTAGGGACAGTTTAGTTGCAAGATTTAGGCTAAATTTTGCCGAGTACATTTTTTAGCTGCATAAATTATGTTACCTTCTTAAATCCTATTTTATTGTTTATTAAGATCTAACCAGAATTAATGTCTATCATGCCAATAGTCAATAAGATATTAAAATATTATTCTTATCCTCTAAGAACAAGAGAACACAAGTATAGCAGCTTATGCAATTTTAAAAAATCTACAAAGTATTCAAACATAGCTAATCATCTCTACTTATTAATGGTTAAATTAATAATTTTGAAATCATATAAGTAATAAAAAAAATTTGCAAAAAGAGGGCCAAAAAGTAAAATGAAGAATTTAGAATCGGAGCAGACAAAATTCTTCAAATATGAAAATCATAACCGAATCAAACAAGAGATGGGAGATGGTGTTTGACCCAAGCAAGTGATGATGTTGAACTATGAACAAAACAAAGAACTGATTTGTTGTCCTGAAAGATAGAGAAGGAATAGAAGGCCATTGAGCAACATAATCCATTTTTTTAATTGTGCATATACTTATCACACAATACAACAACATACAACAACAACATCAACATCAAGCATTTGTCCTACTACGTGGGATCGGCTACATGAATCCTTTTTCTCCATTGTGTCCTATTAAAAGTCAAATTATTATTTAAATCTAATAAAGAAAGATCATTTCTAATATTTTCTAACCAAGTCTTTTAGGTCTACCTCTACCTTTCTTAACATAAGTCAAATCTAATACATCTACATTTCTAACCGGGTCATCGGAAGGCCGCTGTTTTATGTGACCGAACCATCTAAGGTGACTCTCTCTAATCTAATCTTCTACTGACGCTACTCCAACCTTTTCACGTATTTGCTCATAATACTTATCAGACAATAACATGAACAAATTTCCAACATTAAGCAACACTTCTCATGGGGGAGGAAGAGAGAATTTTACCTCTGATAGATAGAAAACCTTCCCGAAAAGGGCCTGTACAGCAAGTTTCCTTTTGAAACCCTTTTCTGTGAATCCTGAAATATCCATGACAACTGGTCCTGCAAAAAAAAAATGTTGCTTCAAATAAGGAATAAATAAGCGCCTTTTAACCGCACAGTGGAATAATGTACTCAGCGCAGCAGCAAGTTTTAACATAAATAGTTGAACATGTTTATATTCAATATATTCGAAGAATTTGGCATGCTGAAAGCATATCATTCTTTGTTCATGCTTAGCATTTCCACTCACATAAAACACCCCTCCCAACACAAATTAAAACCATTATTGAGCCATCAATCTCTAAAACTCTCCCAAGTGAGCATATAAAATAATCCCACCAACTCAAGGGATGACAACTTCACCCATAACAAATTTGCAAGACTCGACCCCGATTAAGAGGAATTATTTAACTCACAATGAGACTTCATATCGCAAGATGCAACTACAACACAACACAGGCACAGTGACAATATTTAGGTTCAATTTGCCCTACCTTAACCAAGATATCACATCGAAATTCTTATATTTCCAAAATGTATGAATAAATGAATACTATATTCAAAATCCTAAGACAACCAACAACCCTTCATTCTTTCAACCCACTACAAAATTTTGTGACAGGAGCCAATCAACAAAACTATTTTTCGAGCGTTTACGCTTTCAAATACGTTTGGGAAAAAAATCCGATTATGCTAGGAGGTTTGATATAGTCCACCCATTTAAACCAATAAGGGTGACGAGGTAACCTAAATTGCCCAAACATTGCATCTATCCATTTCTAATCGTTACCTCCCACTTCATATGCTTAACTATGGTCACTAGAGGCATAAGGTCCTCAGGCCTTTCCATCAAGCCCACAGCTCCACTTACCTACTCCTTCCTCATCTTATTACCCTCCCCTTCTCCTACAACTTCTTTGCAGTGGTAGAAGACAAAGACCTTTTCATCATCGCTCAACCAAATCTTTTATGTACCCCACTCCCTCCATTTCCCAATCTCCGCCTACGTAGTTTTCCAATAGAACCCATCCTTTTGAATAAGGGCGGGCAAAATCCAAGCCCAAACTCTTCATTTCACAAGGTTAAAGATACATGGCCCGTAATAGAAAAATGCTGGGTAAATAGAAAGCGATGTTCAACAACTATGTCTAGTAAAATAGAACTTTCTAATTAACATTAGAAAACACCAACGAGCGGCTAAGGAATTATACAGGAATAAGTTTTAAGAGAGCTAACTTGTAATTTCCTAACCAACTTAACAAACCATAAGACATTCCATGCCACAACTCAATACATATCGTACAAAATGGAGTATTACAACAGATGGTAGCTATAACGCTTTTTTTTTTTACCGAGTGCATGTAAATTTGTAGAAGATCAATATTTCAAGAATAGAAAAGGACCAAAATGATCCCTCAACTCTTTAAAATGAGATATTTTTAAACCTAACATTAAATGTTGAAGTTAATGGTGTTAAATATAAGGGATTTGATCATTTTTAATTAAATATTTATTAAATAAAATTTTCAAGTAATTATAATTAAAAAAATTATTAAACATTTCTTTAATAAAATAATAATGATAATAATCTTAAATTTAATTTAAAAAATTTTAGTCATATTTTATAAAATATGGTATTTATTGATTTAGATAAATTAAATGCAAATAGATGTTATTTTCAAGTTAGTCACACATATTTTTACCAATCATATTTTATACAATATGACTAATTTTTTTTAAATTAAAACTAAAATTAGTATTATTTTTTTATAAAAGAAACATTCAATAAAAGTTTTTAGAAAAATTATATTTAATAAATGTTTGATTAGAAAATGACTAAAATATCTTTACATTTAACATCATTAACTCCAACATTAGATGTTAGGACTAAAAATGTCCGATTTTAAAGAGTTAAGAGATCAAATTGGTCCCTCAAAAGAGTTGGGAACTATGTTGGGCCCTCACAAAGAGTTGAGGGACCATTTTATTCATTTTCTCATTGCAAGAGATAAGTTTCTATTACATCATCATCTTGAAATAACATTCTTTTGTTTTGAGAAAAAATGAGACTTCTTATGTGCAAAAAGTCTTATTGTAATAAAGTAAGAATTTCATAACAACATATCATCACAAAGTGACTTGTAATGCAGAACTACAAGAATTTAATTTTGTTATTATAAATGAATAAAAAAATTTATGAACTAGAATTGATATTATGCTACTACAATCTAGCATAGTAGTCTAAATTTAAGGAAAAAGCCTTATATTGGATAGGTAAAATGGAAAATAGTATGCTATTATATTTCCCAACTGATTTTTGCAGTACAATTTAAAAATAAGTTCACAAACAGCAGCGAAGAAAAATGTTAAACGATGTACGTAAAGATATTACCTTTTTCTTTAACAATTCTCCTTGATGTTTCATTTAATACTTCAGCTACTTGATGATCCTCCAACATGGATGCTTTCCTAAGATGTAGTAGACCAGCCACAGTATCTGGATTGAAGGGCCTCTCATTCAGTACATATCGGATGTACTTCCTCAAAATATCATCCATATTAAAGCCTGTCTGAATGGTTAAAAAAAAAACCATCACTTACTAGGTTTGTTTCATCGAGCAAGCAACTCTAGCAAGATGAGTTAAGCCTCAGCGATTTCTAATAGATGGCTAACGGTGTTCATTCAAACTTCATGATGTTGCAAAGTTTGAATTGCTTAAGATTCACTATGTTTCTGGCAAGAAGACCAGTTATTTACTCAGAAATACCATATCAGACATAATTACTCAATTCTCGTCCATGCAAAAACATAAGTTAATGGTAAACAAAAAGTCTCCATTGCCTGATTTACTATGCTAATGGTATGCTTCCACAATTCAACAAGTTCTGTTCAGCTATAGTGAGCCATAAATCCTATGATGAAGTTGCTTACTCCAGCACCCCTGATTAAAATTTAAGCATATACAAAAAGGTACGTAAATGACCATTTGCCCTCAACAACAGCATGTAAGCCAACTAAATTGCATACTTCATCTTCAGATAAAGAACTCTTCATGATTCAATTTCAGCAGAAGAAGACAGCTCTAACTACTAGAGATCAGAAGCACGAGCATACATTTACATTAAGCCAAGAAAGGGTTATTCATAAACATCCATAAAAAAGCACTTTGTGCAGGAAACATATTCGCTTCTTCACATAAAATTAAATGCATCCCACTCAGAAACTTCATATGATTTTGCATTTATTCAATTTAGGCTAATTTCTACAGTGGCTTGAGAGTCATAAGGTTTTAATAGAATTGCACTATTGAAAAATGCACAATTGCAATAAATTGTGAGTTTTGCATGCAGCGAATTATGGTTTCGGTTTTGTCATTGGTTTTATCGATTTGGACTTGGGCAGTGTTGTTTGGATGTATCATTGTGGCTTTTGGTTGTTAAGTGTGGTATTGCTTGGATTTATGCACGGCTTTTGTGGTATTGCTTTGGATTACAATACTTGCATATGGGAATCAGTGGATATGGAAGCCAGTGAAAGAGTGATTGCAGCCAATTTGGATAGAGTAAAATGAATTTATTTTTTCATTATTGCGGAGGGTTGATAGAAAAGGAAAATGATTTTCTATGAATTGAACATGAAGTGAGATGAAGATTTGATGGTTTGTTGGTTCAAAACAAATATAGGCCTTATAAAGGTTTGAAAAATCCTAGAAAAATACAGGATTTAGTAAAATAAGCATTCAAATAGGGACTTGTTATTCAGAATGAGTGCAGGTAAGCTGTTAACAATATAAACCGTTGTGTCAAATGCATAGTGTCATAGGGAAAGAGTTAGACTGTTAGAATCATATGATGGAATAGAGTTAGTCCTATTTCAAAGATGTGTTGGTAAAATTATTACATGGATGAGACATATTAGAGTACATGTAGGGGAAATTAGAAGGTGAATTCCATGAGTTTTACATAAACTTTTTAGCCATTGGTATTCCTTGCTATCATCAACGTGAACAGTGGTGATTGATGTGTTGAAGAATTGTTCATCCATTGATTTGAAAATGAGAAAAATAGAGCGAACCTCTCAATTTTGTGCCATTGAAGAAAGCCAATAATATTTGGTAAAATAATAAAAAAACATAATGTAATATAAAAGATCATTTACTGAGTGAATTGGGATGGACTTCAAACATTACAGTAGAATCAATCAACTAGATGATGACTTGACATGCCTGAAGTATGAAAGGGTAGCTCGTGACTTTTGTTAAATTGACATGAGTTACAAAAAGATACATTGGATGATTTTGCGTTGCTAGAAAGTTTATTTGTGGATATAATATGAATATATGATGTAGGAATTTTTATGACAGATGGCCGAGGCGATCATGCCAACATTCAAGGATATAGTTAAGCTTAACATGGGATCGCTTGGAATTCAATGGATTCTCATTGATGCTTGGCCATTAGTACACATTATTTTTGCCCTACCTTCGAGTTAGAGGTGGCCCTAATAATGAGATCCTTGAAACAAAAAAGTAGGGTTAAATTCAATTGATGTATGATTAGTGGTGCAAAACTGACAAACAAATATTAAATTTTCATCAAATTCTGGGTGCATAAGACATTCTCAAGAAGAAAGGAGGTAGAAGGGGGTGGAGATGGAGGTTTTCCGGTGTGTATGATTTAAGCACCTAAATTTTCTCCAATAACAATGTCATTAGAACATTTGTAGGAATTGAGGAGAGAGATTTTACTTGTGTATGATGCTTGAATTATGGAGGTCAACCTTAGAGTCTAAAGGTTTTTGTTTGAATAGATCTAAAACCAAATACATGGAGCGTAATTTTAGTAGTAATAGATCTAGTGTGGGGATTGTGACATTGAGCGATCAAGTCATTAAGAAGAGTACACGTTTTACATAATTTGGATCGATTGTTCAGAGTGATGGTGAAATAGATGGAATATTATTACTAGAATTCAAGTTGGATGGATGAAGTGAAGGAATGCATCGGGCTTGTTGTGTGATAGAAAAGTACCACTCAACTTAAGGAAAAATTCTATAAGATGATGGTTAGACATGCGATACTTTATGGCACAGAATGTTGGTCATTAAAGGAGAAGCATAATATTAAGTTAAGTGTTGCATAGATGAGGATGCTCAGGTAGATGAGTGGCTTTACTCTTAGAGATAGGATACAAAATGAGCTTACATGTGAAAAGGTTGGAGTAGCTCTAGTGGCACATAAGATTAGAGAGAGTCGCCTTAGATGGTTTGGTCACATAAAACGGCGGACTTCCAATGACCCGATTAGGAGAGTAGATGTATTAGATTTAGCCTATGTTAAGAAAGGTAGAGGTAGACCTAAAAAATCTTGATTAGAAAATATTAGAAATGACCTTTCTTTATTAGATCTAAATGAGAATTTGACTCTTAACCGGAAACAATGGAGAAAAGGATTCATGTAGCCGACCCCATGTAGTGGGATGCTGGGATAAGTGCTTGATGATGATGTTGTTGTTGTATGATGTGATGCGAGGTGTTGATGTCAAGGAGCCAAACAAGTTGTGAGCCTTGATTGTTGGTGGTAGTATATGATGGGTTTTGGACGGGATGGAAAGGCTCATCAGATGTTTTGTCATGAAGCATTCGCATGTTGTATGTCCACATATGTTACTAAACTAATACACCATATTTAGGATTTTAGATCCGTATGGGTGAGAGATGGTACTTAACTTTGTTGTGTCTGGTTTCAAGTTCGATGTTTTTTAGAACGTTCACTTTTGTATTGATTAAAGATGTGATATTAGGAGCAGACAACAATTATTAGTGGAAGACTATTCTCACGTGATGCTCATTCAATAAAGTCTTCATATTCAATAAGTTTTTCAAAAGAGTTAAAAAAATGACCGATTATTCTCTTGTAGGAATGATTCCACTTATTCTTTAAATTCTGGCACAACTCCATTAAGCAATGGATAATGAAATGATCCTCTTGCAACACAACCCAACTAGGGCTAGTTGATCAACATGCCTTTTGAGCGCTTATCTAAACTCAATGGAATAATTTTCCCAGCGAGTCATTTGATATAATTTCTCTTTGAGGAAGAAAATGTGTGATTGTGAGCGATTGACATGCATCTTGTCCCAGGAATCATGTGATGATAAGAAGTAGGCTATGCAAGACATGAGTAGTTTGAATAAACAGTCAAACATGGCATGGAGCAAAAGTTGATCTTGTTGAACCCAAATGGTGTAACTCAGGTTAATGATTTGGAAATCTCCTTGAGTGAAGGTGGAAGTAGGTGGAATATCTTTGTTGATATAGCCAATAATATTGTATCCTTCAACTAGAGATTGTGCTTGAGCTCACCATAATGGGTGATTGTTGGGCATGAGTATGAGTAGGAGCTAAGCAGTTGGATTGATGAGCACAAATGGAGGGCGGATGGTAAGAGGAATGGTAATTTCATCAGCCATGGAGTTGCGTTTAGTCGATTAGGATCAACTTGTTGGAGTTTGTGATCTTTGATAAACTCAATCTTATACCGGATCTTCGATAATATAAATGATTATAAGCCAATAGCGGCAAGTATTTTGGGATGAAATAATAAAGGCTATCAATTAATGCAATACATCAGTAATTACATGATAAATGTATTAACAGCATTAATGTGATTTATTGTATCGAATTATTTGAAAAGTGGATAAATATTTTCTTAATACACAGGACAGAATATAAATTGTTATATAGAAACTTCAAGAGAAAATTTTAAAGCACGTCCCATAAGAATTACCTTCTGCATAAGCCCCTTAAGAGCCGAATGGTTCACTTCTTCCCTACCCTTCTCAAACAATTCGTCTATTGACTTCAGCAGAAAAGCATTCTTATTCACCTACAAAGCATTAGCAGTTATAGTCAAGTAACCAAAACCTGAAACAGCTGACAAATATCAATCTTTCAACCATTCAGCAGAGTAATTCCGCAAGAATTTCAAAATAAATACCAGCTTCTTCCGCTTTGCACGGGGAGAAGTGAACTTTTTCACAGTCTTGAAGACAGCAAAAACAAACGTGAGCCCGATGTACGCCAAAGGAACGGCAAGCATCCACGGTAGAGGGCTCTGGCCAACCCTCGGCCCGGGAATGGCTTGGGTCACAGTACCAGTGAACTCGACAAGGTCAAGGGCCTTCTCCTGAATCCATGGGAGTTCCTCCTCGACTTCCTCTTCTTCTTCCACAAAGCTTTGAACCAAATCCTTGGATTTCTTCGATTGTTGGTCATCGCCGACGGCGCTTGCCTTTGCCCTGGCGATATGAAATGCAGATCGCCGGCAAGGTGTCCGAAACGGAGTAAGAAAGGAGTACCGTGGGGAGAAGCGAACATTGCGTGTAACACCTCCAATACACCAATTTGCATCGGCGGAGAAAGGATGGTTCAGAGTGAAGGCCATAGAGCGGCAGACGGGCTCCGTCGTTAGGAAACCTCTCCACATCCCATATAAGATTGGGTTTGCTGTTAGATATCCGGCAGGGCTGTGGAAAAAATAGCCGTCCGATACGAGTAATTATTCCGTCAGTTTACTCAATGCACCCCAAAACTAATAACAAAACGTCATGTTACTAAAGTGTTAGGTATCGTGCTCAATACAGCGAGTTCGGTACACTCGGTATGCTCGGTATTATTGGTATTTTCATCAGATGTAATAATTTTTCGTCCGATACAGAAACAATTATTACGTCCTCTGTCCGAACGTAGAGCTACGTTCGGCCGCCAATAACATGTCGTCACATGCTCTTACTCTTTACCGTGCGGCCCGACGACTTGATCCAGACCGGAACCCGGGAATGCTATGTTCGCGTATTGCGAGGTATTACTCGATATTGCTAGATATTGCTTGACAATAACGAGAAATACCATTCTGTGAAGACCAATACCGAGTAATGCAGAGCAATACCGAGTTGTACCGAGTTTTTCTAAAAAAACTCGGTACAACTCGGTATTGCTCGGTATTACTCGGTATTTTCTCTATATTTTTTCTAGAAAAACTCGGTACAACTCGGTATTGCTCGATATTACTCGGTATTTTTTTTAGAAAAAATCGATAAAACTCGGTATTGCTCGGTATTTGCTCGGTATTGGTTATTGCCGAGCAAAATCGATCAATACCTAGCAATACCGAGCAGTACCGAGCAATACCTAGCAAAATCGAGAAATACCGAGCCATCCTGGGTCCGTTTCGGGTCGGGTTGTCGGGGCGCGCGGTAAATAGTGAGAATGCCCTAAGAAGGTAGAGCTACGTCTTGTGACCAGACCAAATAAAAGTTCCCGATACAAGCTTTGTGTATATTTATTGTTTTATTTTATTTTATTTTAAAATTTATTAGTTGATTTCCAAAAAAAAAAAGTTGATTATTACATTAGTGTACATATATTATTAATCTTAAATTTGAACAGGCATAATACATGTTGCGTGTTAGAAAATACGCGGCGGTAGAGTTTGTAAATTCGCGTCTGAGCGTTGTACGTAAGTTTAACACACAAACAGGGAAAAGGAATGAACACCAAGAGTTTTTACGTGGAAAACCCAAAACAGGCATAATACAAATATAATATTCATAAATAATTTAAAATAAATAAATAATAACATATGAATATTTAAATTAGTCAAACATAAATATATAGCAAGCACACTAAAAATCAACTTATTATATAACAATTTATTTTGACTCCAATTATGAAATCTAATAGAGGCGGACAATCCAATCATAAATACTTTTCATTAACACATATTTTGATTTTACTAATTAAGAAAAATTGAGTGAAAAATTAGTCTATTTACCCATCGTTGTTTAGCTTAGTTGGTGGGTGAGTACAGTTGGGAACCTCCAACCCGTGCTTGAATCCTCTCGAGCGGTAGCGCATCAAGTGCGGGGAGGTTTATTGGATGGGTTCCTCTTCTAGGTCAGCCGAGGATTAGTCACGTCCCCAAATGACATTTTGGTTTGGAATGGCTGTGAGTGGATACCCCATTCACAAAAAAAAAAAAAATCACGTTCCTTCAAAAAAAAAAAGTATATTTTGATCATCACAAAATATACATTACACTTTACAATTATATAACAAATCCATCATAAGCATTAATGCTAAAGCATGAAAAAAAAATTAGACATCCAAATCCATCATATCATTAAATGAACTATAAAGTTTATAATTAAACTTCAAATATAGATTTATATATAGTGATAGTCATTAAGACATCCAAAAATATAGGGTATAAAATAAAATGGGTCACCTATCAATAGCCCAAACTATGCATCTTTATTGCTAGAAAACTATAATTATATTATCTAATGAGCTAAATGTTCAATGGGATAAATTATTTTAATAAAAATTTTAAAAATATAAAAAAAATATAACATTATAATCATATGAATTAAAAGGAGCACTAATGTTTATAAATAAAAATAGCTTAGTGTAGTAGATTTTAAATATTTTATCAATTAGATAAATAAAAGATTTAATTAGAAATAATAAACATTATTATTTTCAAGATAATAAAATATAAATAATAGAGTATCAAATTATTTAAATACACTGCCTAATTAATTATTGGCATTCTATTACTTTACTTTCTTTTTTCTCAATCTTCGTAATATTTATATAGGCTTTTGACATATTTATATAATTAGTCCACCTCCTAGCTCATCGATCATAATAGCTAGTGATAATCAATGGCCCCATAATACAACTTAGATAATCGCCTGATCTCTCCTCTTATCATGAGAACTGAGATGATTGCTCTCAATCATCAAACTTTCAATGTTCTCCATTACTGAACAATTACCAACAACCAAAATTCAATGTTCAACATATGTTAACTATTAATGTCTAAAACATCTTCTCAGCCATTCAATCTCTTATCTGATTAAGATATTTTTTGGGGGGCAGAATAAGGGATTCGAGCCCGTGTGAGAGCGGGAGGAAGGTCTTCCATCGACCGTCAAAGCACAGAAGAGATTGATCAGGAAAAAAGAAAACAACTTAGCTCGACTTTTGACGATTCTCATTAATTATCAATTGTTAATGATTAGCAATTGACATTTGTCAATTATTGATGTTGGCACTTACCATCCTAATTACTGGTCTCAAGTCCGACTAGAATAAAGACAAAGCTCGCTCACAAACCTTATGGACCTTTCAATGACCTTCACCTCCTGACGCTTAAAACATTAAATTATCACCATTGTCGTGACTATGTCAAAACACAACAGAAACATATGATGAATAGGATCAAAATCATGTGATTCCGCATAATCAAATTTGGATCATTTTGATATTTGAGTTTGGAATGAAAAAAAGGAGGAAGAAAGCTTTATTAGTGCCAAAATTGCAGTACAGGTATAGGGAGAAGATAGAGAGAAGAAAAAGAAAATACAAAAGGAGAGAGAAGTTAGGCGATGCATGATCGAAACTGCCCAAACAATTCTCATGAATAGGGCCACAGAGTGAATTTGAATCACAGGACCACCCCCTTATCATGGGGCAAATTATTGCATCCGGCACGGGACGCGGAGATAGATCAGGATATTAATAAAATATTATTTTAAATTAAGCGCGTCAAAAGCGCAAGTAAAGTGCAGGTAAAGCGCAGTCAAAGCGCAACTAAAGCCCAAGTCAAAAGCGCAGGTGACGTGGGTGAAACTTATCCAAACCTATTTTCCGCATCCGGTGACCGGATGCAATAATTTGCCCATGGGGCCCCCTATCATGGAGGTTTTGCTTTTGATTCTCATGTCTGTTTTCATGTCTCCTTTTAAGAAATCAGATTTTTATAAATTTCTGATCAGTTTCACCCACCTGAACCGGCTCTGATGAGTTCTGCAAATCCACAAACTACACAATACTACATATCAGAGACAAAAATGGTGTAGAATTCAGTTAATGCAGGGTTTAATTACCCGTCAGTGCCCGAGGCCTATGTTCAATGGTTAATAATGACATGCCAGTTTGGGAAATGGCTCTGACAAAACCCATATTTGCAGTTAATGTTGGGGCACGATAGTGATCCCCAGTGCCAAATATGACCTTGTTCTTTTCTGCAATCTTTCTTGTTGTTGGAAGAGCAGAAATGCGCGCCGAAGGACTGTCTGGGACAACCCTACACATTTTAAGAAGATAAAATTGAAACAGGCGTTAATTTAATAATTGATACTTTTAAGTGGAAATATAACACTGCAGTTCAACTGAATTAGTGAGTAAATAATGTCCCGTGTAAATAAAATTTACAACCCAAATAAAATTTGCAATGTCAATATTGGCATCCCATTGTTCACCCGACTAAATAGTGAAAATTTTACCGTTCGGCTAGAGCTCGCGAGCGACCCCATTCAAGTGTTTGGAGTTCGGCTGGAGAAGCCCTTATTTGGGTTGTAAACTGTTCATCTTCGCTATTTTTCTGTCTCTACCGAACTTGCCGAAGAAACGCGCGAAAGAAGAGAACGACCGTTATCTTCGCAAAAGGGGGCAAAATAGAGTTCGATTGGAGATGAATCACGACATTTAGGAGTGAAAAATGAGATTTTCGATTGGAGATGCCCTAAGAAGCCTGGAATGTGTCTCTGAGAGCAACAAATGATTTTGCTTTACTATAACTGCTGAGGAGAATGTAGAAAGTTACATATCTAGTTCAGAGTGAAGATGAAAAGTCATCAAATACTTGAACCTTTATATCCATGGAAGCCAAAAAAAAAGTTCTGAACTGATTTAGGCTTCGTTTGGGACGACTTTTTTATTGCTTCTTAAAACAGAGTTTTAGTAAAAACTTAAAATTTTTTAAGTAAAACTGTTTTAAAAAGCAATAAAAAAGTCGTCTCAAACAAAAAATTAATAAAAACACAAGCAAAGAAATTTAAGTAAGGGCTAAAAATAATGCCTAGAGTTATCTCATAACATTATTAATGCTTCTGACTGATGATGAGCAAATGTGCAATTTGGAGTACCGAAGGAATCACCATTGAGAGACTGATATCATGGAAGGATCACTATAAATATGAATTTGTAGGTCCAATATATTACAGACAAAAAAGGTTCAATGAAGCCACAGAAACGCCAACGTAGGCTCAATGCACTGCTGCAGGCCACTGAAAACACATGGTGCACAAATTTCTCGCTAGGCAGAAGTTCCATCTCCATGGTTGGATGGTGGTGCAGTCCTACTTCATCACCATGCCGTGGTGAGAAACACCTACATAACCGGAATTCTTAGAGGCCACAAAAGCATTTTCTAGATCAGGCAGACAAAACACATTACCAAACAAAACTGCAGCAGAGGAGTGAAATTGTCAGTCTCAGCAGTGCGAGCTAAGTGATGCTTATCACAGCATTGCAAGTGATCATGCAAGTGAGGAAGGCAAGAGTGGAGTAGAATCTAGTGTAACAAGCGTAGATAAGCAAGCTAGCTAGGCGAGCCACTGCAGAAAGCGATCAAGTACATGATCTCAGCAAGAGTGAGGTGGCGTACAATCTAATGCAACAAGGATGGATAAGCCAACTAGCTAGACAAGTCTCTGCAGCAAGCGAGCGAGTGCATGAACTCAGCAAGAGTGAGGAAGCGAGTGAACAAAGTGGCTAGGGTTGATTGTGAGAAAAAGGGGAATGGACCGGTTAGACTACAATGGCTCCGATACCATGTTGAGCATTGGTCTTACATATATGCATATAGGAGTGCAAAAGGAAAATAATAAAGATGATAATTTTCTATAGTAATGAGGATATAAAACAATAATAAGTATGTATCTTATTAATCTAGTACTTTCCAATTTTGCTGCCATCTAATTTAGTATTTTCCTTCAATAGCAAGTACTAAGGCATCAATAACATCATTTATAAGCATGAACATGGATACAAATGCAAAAAGTAGGACATAATTCACAGTTAACACAATATTATAGAGTAAAAGCTCAAAATAATTTTCTGACTATTGATAAATGTCTAATTTAGTCTCAGAATTTCACATTGGCCCAATTTAGTCCCTCGACTATTAGAAAATGAGTCAATTTAGTCCAAGCGCCTAAAATAAAAGTCAAAGTTAACTCTAAAGTTAAATATAAAAGATATTTTGGGTATTGTAAGTGAGTATGAGATTACATTATTTATATTGTCATATTTTATCATTTAATAAATTATAGTATATAATTAATCTAGTACATAATAAAGGTGAACAAATAATAATAAAAAAATATTTTTAAAGTAAAATTTAATATTGCTTTTCTTTATCATATTTTAATAATTTTATAGATTATGAAGCAGATTAGAAATTATTAAAATAAAATTTATTTTATATTAAAATATGACAAAATAAAATTCTGTGGTTGCCAAGGTCCCAAGTACTAGGTGAGAAAAATGGAGAGTTGCGTTAGTTAGTCAACAGCCAGCATAAAACTTGTCAAATAATAATTACATGAATTTTTTAACATATCGTGTTAATGCTAAGGCGTTCCGTGAAAGCAACGAGTTGTATGGCCGGAATACAGTGACAAGTAAGCAAGGGCCGCTGCACCGGTGCTCGGGTGCAGTATTAAATAGGCAATGGTTCCTACATCATGGACGAATGTGGGCATAGAAGCTAGTCCATAAAACTAAAATTAGGATATAAACTTAGAATATAGATTTTCTTACAGGAAAATTAATAGAATTAATAGATATTATGATCCATAGAAAGATAAATATTCTATGTATTTAGAAAAATAAATGTGTTGGAAAGAAAGCTAAGGAGATTGATAGTTTAGGATTTAAATTATAATGATATGGTAGAAGTCGTACTATAAAATAATATAGGTGTGATTATAAATAAAAGTTTGAAAAATAGTGTTATAAAAATAGATATAATTGGAGATATAATTATAACTTTAAAATTGTTGTTGATGCTAAGATTATTAATATTATAAGTGTTTATCCTTCTCAAATAGTTTTGGATATGTATACAAAATTAAAATTTTGGAATGACCTAGAAGAATTAATTCAAAAGATACATCTCGAAGGAAGCATTTTAATTGGAGAAGATTTAAACAGACATAACAGTAGAGAGGTAGATGATTTTAAAAGCATTCATAGTGGCTATGATTTTAGAGCAACTAATAAAGGCGGTAAGACTGTATTAAATTTTTCTTTAGCTTATAATTTTATGATTGCTAATAACTTATTTAAGAAAAGATATGAGCATCTCATCAGTTATAAGAATAAATATAGTAAAACTCAAATTGATTATTTTCTTATAAAAAATAGATTGTTTAAATTGCAAAGATTAAAAAGTTATTTCAAGTGAAAGTTTATGTGCCCAACATCGCTTATTAATTTTGGACTTTGAGATCAAGGGGAATAAGATAAAAATAAAGTAAATCGTTGTTCAAGGATCATATGAGGGCATTTAAGGAATATTAACAAAAATATTTTTAAGAGTAAGATTCTATATTTTAAGATTTTGTCTATACATGAGAAAGCTAATGTTTTATGAAAAAAATAGCTAGTATCAAAGGAAAAAAGCTACTAATAGTAAAAATAGTTGGTGGTGAAATCAAAATGTGCAAAAAAAAGATAAAAAATAAAAATATTTATTATAAAAATTGATTTAGATGTAAAAATTCTAATAATAGGAAAAGAAATAAAATGTCTTGAAATGAGTCTAAGAAACCAATTTGCAATATAAAAATTTTAGCTTTTAATAATTTATATAATATATTAGATACTAATGAGGGTGAAATATATATGTATAAGTTAGTTAAACAAAGAAGTAGGAGTAGTTCGGATTTAGTTCAAGTGAAGTGTATTAAGTATGAAGATAAAAAAATGTTTTTATTAGAAGAGGATAATAAAATAGGGCAATGCAAAACTCTTGAACTAAAGTGGACATTTATCAATAGTCGGGGGACTATTTTTAGCTTTTACTCCAATATTATATGTTATAAACCATGCTGGAACACCTAATTTTGTCATGAAATGCTTTGGACATAATATTGACCAGGTCAAGGAGTTTCAAAGATGTGTTGTGTCCGACATAGACATGAAATTATATGTGCTTCCTAGTTTTAATGAATGTTTCAAGTGAGATTACAAGGAATAAAGTTTTTATTCATAACTATCAATGGCATGTAATATTTCTCCACATGAAAAGTTGAAGATCATCTAAAAAGGACAATGATTTTGAGGCAGGAAATTAGTGGAATAGAAGGAAACTAAAAAAAATTGGAGCAGAAACAACTGACATACAAGCTTCTTAGAATATCTGGGATCAAGCTACAGAAAATTCACCGCAGTTTATTTGGCTGATAGATTAGTGAACTTAATCTTCTAAGTTTCAACCAGATAATCACTAGTATTTCCATTACATGTCAGGGCTACAGTAATACATTAATGGATGGGGCTTACATTTAAGTCAACTCAACATTCAGGTGGTCATATTACATGGATATCATCCTGAATGAACAATGAAGTCAGTACAGCATGGCTGGTAAGAGGTTAGTTTGGTATGTAAGAGGACAAGTGTTTGAAATCAAAATATCAGCAGTACCCTGGAAAATAATGGCATGAAGGGTAGAAAAAATTCCAATATGCTTTTATTTCAAAAAATACCAAATATAGTTGTCATTGACATCATATAGAATGAATATGCAACTACAATATGAAGAACAACTCTGGTGCTAGCTTTAAAACACATCAGAATTCACAAGAAGTTCATGCTGATAAAGGCCTAAATCCATGATGCAAATAGACACAATTGATCTGATATAATTAGAATAAGGACAATCCAGGTAAAGATATAATTAGAACAATTTGAAAACTCACAAAAGATGCTTTAACAATTGATCTGCTCTAAACTTCTCATTAGCTCCTCCACACATGAACATGAGCTCCTTAAACTCTGATCGAACTCTCTCACAAATAATGCCTTTCTTCCCTTCTAGGACAACTTTGAGTGCAAGCAGAATTGGTTGGTCTAGTTCAGAAGTTGCCTGAAGATTAGGATTTATAAAAGAAAGTGACTAAAACAAGTTTTCAAAGCTGAACAAATTTCAGGACAGACCACTCTAAAGCAAAGTTAAAAATTAAAATGGGGATTTACATAAGCATCATAAAGTTCTTATCTTTTTACAAATTCTCATCGTTCAATTGACAAGCCAAATCACATTACAACATATACATAAAACTATATGTTTTAATTAAATAAATTAATATTATCGTTTATTTTATTTTAAATATACTAATATTAGTGGTATATTTTTATATAATTTAGAGATTTAAGTGTTATATAAATGAATATATAAAAATTTAGATATTAGAAATATAAATATATAAAAGATTCGTGGCATATATGTAAATACGCCAAGCAGCACATCTTAATCCTAACCAAAAAATCTTAGGTTCAAGAATTTACGCATGTGATGTGTAAGAGAGGGGTGCCTGTGAATTTATAATTAAATTTACTTAAAATTTTCATATATATAATGAAATTCTTATTATAATAAAAAAAGTGGAAGGAGAATAAAATGCTCATTAAGGCATTTTTTGAAAAAGGTTCATTAAAGAGAGTTGGAATCTAAAAAAAGGTTCAGTAAAGAGAGTTGGAACCTGAACCGAAAAGAGGATTAATTATTTTGGGCAGACTTCGACGGTGTCCGGAGACGAATGAGAGCATGCCAACTCTTTTTTATTTGCACACCATTATGCATTATGCACCAGATGACGTAACAAGTTCTCATTCATACGACTACACAACAATTTTTCCGAAAAGAGTGCAAAATCAAAACCAAACGCAAGTACAGTGTGTGATCAAAATAAATCATATTAAATTATGAATGTAAGCAAAAAAACAATTACATTTTTGTGTCCCATTACCAAGAAAAGCATCTATAGATAATAGACTATAGTGTAAAAACACACGAAATACCTGCTCTATGACAAATTTATAGTTTCCCTTAAACCGCCGTCTCAAGTCAACCTCAGGCGCTCCGAGCAGCCTCTCCGCAGCACCATTACTTATTCCCGACACCATAGCAATCAGCGCAGTCGTATCAAAATTTATCAAATCCACCGAAGCCACCCCTCCCGGCCTCAAGCACGACATCAACTCCCCGAACGCATCCTTTCCCCGATCCACTTCATCCCCCTCACCCACACTCGCAAAACCAGAAACTTCATTAAAACGTTCAAGATCATCCCCTTCGATCTGGATCCTAAACCAGCGCGATCCCTCCATTCCCCATGATTCCACCCCAACCCATCCATCCTCCAAATCTTCGAACACGATACATTCCGCATGCGCATCGATCTCGACGGCACCCAGATGGCCGGCGATCGCCGACGCCGCGTCATCGGGGAGCCCGCGGGAGAATACGAGAAAGAGATAGGTCGGCTTGAGAGTAACTGAGGCAGACCGCGCGGCGAGCAGGGTGCGCTCGGCGCGGGAGCGGAGACTTCCGCTCCAGGAGATGCGAATAGGGTTGCGGTGTGAGACGAGGAACCAGGCGGGGGAGGAGCCGAAGGTGCAGACGATGTCGACGTGTGCCGAATTAGATGGAACAGGCTTGCAGAGGCGGGAGGCGTTGCGGACTGCGGGATGGAGAAGGACGCGGACAATGGACTCGAAGTAGCCGATGTTTGAGGTGATGGGAGTAGAGGGGAAAGGGAGTCGGTGGAGGAAGCGGAGCTCTGCTCGAACGAGACGGAGGAGGGTAAGTTTAGCTGGGTTTGAGAGCTTGAAGGGCGGGAAGGAGGTTGCGATCTGGGCCTGCAGCGAGAGGCAGCGGCTCTGCAACTGCTCGGCTTCGGAGGCGTGTTGAACGACCGCTGGGCCCATGACGATGTACAGTTAATCGCACTTTGAGTCTTCACTTCCTCCTTTCAAGACGAGTTAGTATTTTAGAGTACTACTCTATTTTGAAGTGAAAATTAAATTTTTTGGTTGGAGATGCCTAAGGCCTGTCTCGGATGACTATAATTTTTTTTATAAAATTTGATACTTAAAACAAAATAATCTTGGTCAGATATGGATCAAGACACGATTAAAATAAAAATTTTTAAAATTAAAATTATGAGCATCCAAACTCCAATCTTAGCAAACTTATAATCAAACTAAACTTTTCGGCAAAACGAATCCAACGACACCAAAATCAAACTAATTTGAGTACAAATGGGCTTGAACAAAGATCTGAAGTATATTTTGAAGTTTTAAAGTATTAATTGGATAACTAAATAATCTCCAAAAATTGTATACTTATATTTTAATCGAGCGGCTCAATGAGACGAATTCAAAGAGCCCAAGATTACTTAATGCTTACATCATTAGGGCACTTAAATGCTAAATAAAAGTTCTATGATTGAAGGAATTAATATGGACTATCAGTTTGACCATTTTGAATTTGTCCTAAATTTTCTTCAAATTTATAGAGTATGTCTTTCTAAAAAATATATAAATGTACCCTTATTATTCACCTAAGAGAGAGGAATGAGTAGAAAGAGAGCAATAAAAAAACTATCTTGCATTTCATTATTAACAACTATCATTCTCATTGACGACAGACATTAGAAATCATCATCATCTTCAGAATACTAACAAGATTTTACCCTGTTGTTGAGTATATTTGTCTGTCTGTGCACATCTATTTCTATAATCCTTATTAGGAAAATTAAGTCGTGTTGTTTAGTATAAACTGTCCCTCTGTGGATACTTGATTTTTGCACTTTCCCTCATCTTCATCAGTGAAGAAAGGAAAATATTTGTATCACTTCATTACAATTGAGTCAAAATTTCTAATTTTTCCCTCTCCAGATTTTTCAAGTAAAAAATTATATGATCCTACTACTTTCACATATACATGTTGAATCTTTATGCACTGCTAACATATAAAACACACATTCTACCGACTTAAATTTTTTAAAATGCAACAAAATTGATTTTGAAGTTAAAATCAAGCAAGAATTTATTTGGGACTCTAATTTTTTTTTATAAAGATGATTACAAAGTTATTGTGCAAATTTTTTTTTTTTTAGTTGTTATAAAAAGAAGCTTCTTAAAACAAAATATTTTTAAAAGCAACAAAAAATAGTTTAATAAAATTTGTGATTATTCTATGAAAAACAAAACAATAACAAAGTTATCCTAAATAGACTCTTAGCTATTTTAGTTATAAAAATAAACTTTCTAACAAAAAAATTAAAAAAAAAATTGTGAGAAAACAACTAGAAAATAGCAACAACATAAATTTATGATGATTATCTAAAATGCAAAATAATAAAAAAAAAAATTGCCTCAAAAAAATTTGAAGGGAATTTTAAAATACTATGTTTTATGGCATTAGACTAAGTTTTGAAATGAATTGTTGTATAACCCATACACATTATTATGAAATATCCCTATCATTTATTTTCTCGAAAAAATATATTAAAATTTTGTTTAAGATCAAATTACCCTTTTATTTTTACAGCTTTTCCATTGAAGCAAACTTAAATTTGAATAAATTTGAAACAAATGCCAGAGTAAGATAATAATCTATTCCAAACAAGATTCAAATAATATACAAATAAGAGTAGAACAATGTTCAAAATAAAGTCCTCATTCCAAGTTATCTATCAACCTGACTTTACAAATGTAATAGCATCACAAACATTTTTTTTTTTTTTTTTTTTTTTTGAGAAGAAAAAAAGAGAGAAATATATACTGTTACTTTTTCTTGGTTACAATATCTTCTACGATACTTTTGGAATCAGCAGATAATAAATCTGAGAAGCATCTATTCTCCGAATAACCGGAGAAAAATAGTTTATTCTTCTATGTCTGGACAAACAAACAGCAGATGAATACAGAGGAAAGTCGAAGCCTAGGCCTAATAACACCAAGGAATGCTATCACGCCTGAAATCACTGGCCAATACACTAGAAATTATTAGGCGCCGAGTCCAGACCTAGAGATCTGTCCGAACTCCAGTAAAATGTTGACACATGGAGTGAATACATGGATATTCAATTGGATTTATTTTTTATTTTATATATCTAATGTGTCGGGGGAATTTTAATCTAAGCGCACCAAAAGTACAGTCAAAACGCAGGTAAAGTACAGGTAAAGCGCAACAAAAAAGCGTAACAAAAGAGCAATTAAAGCGTAGCTAAAGTGTAACTAAAATGCAGGTAAATCGCACAAAAAAAGTGTAACAAAGGCGCACTCTACATGTCACATTTTAAGTAGATGTCCGAACGTATCTCTATATCCGGTGTCCGCACCTAATAATTTTCCCCAATACACAAAGTGCAATGACATGAATTATAATAATTTATTTATAATACATCACCAGATGCCAAATTGGGAATCTCCAGCCGGTGACTTGTGGAGATTCTTTATCAGAAAAAAAAAAAAAAAAAAAAAGAAAAGAAAACTGTATAATAGCAGTTAAGAGGAGCATTGGATGATTGGAAAAACATCAAAAGCACACGATGGACAAGGAAGCTTATGATTGAAGACCCATTTCCTCTTTCTTGCTGGAAACTGCATCTCAGTGAGTCGGGGACCTGCAGTGTTCTTTTACTTATATTTCAAATCTTCTTTAGTGCTCATCACTGTATTCCAGATGGGATCCAATGGGGGAAGCTGGTATTCATCTGGGTTTAGAGCCAATGCAAAATCTGGCAAAACAGGAGCAGCCTGTAAGATCCTGTAAAGGACACACATGTCAGCCCTCGCTCTGGATAGCATATTAGATATTTAAACAGCTTCTAGGTATGCGATAGAGGCTCCTTCACTCCTAGACAACTACACGAAGGAAAAATGAAGAAAGATAATAGTACGCTATGGAGAGAGAGAGAGAGAAGAACATAAAATTTCATCGAAAGATTGATTTTTTGTGACCATACCTGAATCGTTTTTCTCCATTGTGTTCTATTAAGAGTAAAATTCTCATTTAAATCTAAAAAAATATCATTTCTAAAACTTACCAATCAATTCTTTTTAATTCTACCTCTACTTTTCTAAATACAAGTCGAATCTGGTATATCTACTGTCCTAAGAAGGCCATCGAAAGATTGACGTTTTTGTGACCAAATCATTTAAGCAACTCTATCTAATATTATCTATCACTGGAGCTATTCCAACCTTTTCATATGTATACTTGCTTCAAATTCAATTTCTAAGTGTAAAGCCACTCATTTCCTTGAACATACTCCTCTATAATACTTAATTTTATGCTTCTCTTTTAATAGCCAACATTTTGCATCATGAAACATTGCAGATCTCAAAATCATTTAATAAAATTTTCCTTAAGTTACAAGGGTACTTTCTATCACAAAAAAGGCCCAATGCATTCCTATACTTCAACCATGCATTCAACTTGAATTCTACTAATAATATCCCCATCTATTTTACCATGCAAAATTAATGAGTAAGCACATAAAAAAAATTTGCGAGTTCTGCTTAATACGCAGGTATAAGAGATTAAGAAAGATGGAGATATGAAGGAACATGCATTGATTTACAGGAGAAAAAATAAATTTTTATTTGCTATTTGTTCAATAAGCAATGTCTTTTCCATTTGTTAAGTCATTGTAGTAGCAACGACTCAGAACAATACCATGCAAAATTACAGAGTTAGCACATAAAAAATTTGCAAGTTGTGCTTAATACGCAGGTATAAGAGATTAAGAAAGATGTACATATGAAGGAACATGCTATGATTTAAGAGGATGCAAGTCATGAGTAATTATTTGGCTCAATATGTAATGCTTTTTCCTTTTGTTACATTGTCATTGTATTAGTATTTATTCAAAACAATAACTTTTGCAAAATTATAGAGGTAGCATATAAAAAACTTTTGAGTTATGCACTCCAAATAATATTTAAGTATGAGAGATGAACAGGAAAGAAAAAGGAGGGAACTTGCAATTATTTACGGGAAGAAGAATGAATAGAGAAAGAAGCTAATATAATGCTGAAAACTGAGGAAGTGCCAGTATTTTTGTATTATTTTAACCTAATATATTGATTAGGCCAAAATAATAATGGTAACCATAGCAAAGTAAAGTATTTTAACATTGTAAATTTTTTGCATATGCTATAGTAAATTTTTTTAACTCTTAACAGGACACAAGGAAGAAAAATGATTTATGTTGCCGATCTCACATGGTAGAATAAAGACTAGTTATTGTACTCATAAGAAACAAGTCATGTGAAAATAATGAAATATTCAAGAGAAGAGTACTAAAAAATATATTGGAATCAGACTTCCATAGTAGTTTTTAAATAGGATGACTTAAACTACAAAAAACAAGTTTAAAAAATATCTCATGTCAAAAACTAGTGTAACAAGTGAATATCTGAATATTACTTTACCTTTCCTGAGAGTAGAGATCCTGGGTGGTGTGAGCTTTGCTGGAGACATCTTTAGGAATTTTATCAGAGAGAAACTTCATAGATCCCCAAGGAGGTGGGCTTCTGCAGATATTTTGAAACAATATTAATTCCTAAGATTATATGACATTGTGGCAAGAAAAACAGCCAGGCATGGAGCAAAGAACATCATTATCATGGCTTAAAATTATATAAAAGAAAATAAAATGCAAGATGCTTCTCTAATTATTCAGAGTAGTTACATTCATTTTATGCTAATATTCCTAGCAAGTTAACAAACATTCACTTAGACACTTCTGTGTAACAGATTCACCAAAAATAAGAATCTGGAGCCTGAGAAAAATTATTTGCAAACTTTCTAAGAAATTTAGAGTTGGGCACTTATCTACAATAACAAAAAATAGAACAAATATTTTAGACTTAGGTAGCCCCACCTATACTGACAAATAAAATAAGTAAAATTATCTGCTAATTAAAATAAATTAGCTATGCGCAGCATTCTTAGGTATTACTATTAGTTAATTCATAAAAAGGAAATACTGAACAGAAAAAAAAAAAGGATTTTTAAGAGAGGAGATGCAAAAGCTAGATGACAAGAAATATACTTTAATTAAGAGAGGTGAGAGAAAAAAAAACGAAAAAAAATCTTTGGTTGAGGGAATAAAAATGTACTATAGTCAGGATTAAGACAGGAAAAAAAAAACAGAAAGATGGTACCTTGAAGTGGGTGGCGCAACATTGAAGACTTCACATGCCCTCTTGCTTTCTTTCAAAAACTCTTCTGCAGCTTGCAAAGCAGCTACAGCCATACCATGGAATTTCTCTGTGTTCCCTTCATCAAGGATCAGGCCATGATAATAATAGGCTGCCGCCTATAAAAAGAAAAAATATTTATATGTTAAAGGATACATCAATTCTATTTATGTGGGTAAGAATGCAGTATGAAGAAGATGCATGCTCCAATATCAAACTTGTGAATGGGTAAGTTCCCCTGTAATGTGTAAATTCATTATGGCATTGAAGTTAGAACTTTGTTCATTAAACCAACTTTGTTAATTTATTCTGATGGACCAGCGGCTAAGCCGGTGGGCCCCACTAGGGTGGGCAACGGAAAGAAGAGAGAGGGGGGATTGTTTAAAAAATTTTTAATTACAATTGTGAGGAAAATAATTAGGGAAAGAGATCTAATTTGAATTCAATCTAAAAGAAAATTATTTAGGGAAAGCCTAAGGGAGTTAATATTCATTATGTAAGGAGGAATCAAGGGGGTATTGTTTAGAAATTTTTACTTACAATTGAAAGGGAATTAATTAGAGAAAAAGATCTAATTTGAATTCAAATCTAAGAGAATTATTTAGGAAAATGGATATGATTTGAGAGGGAATTATGGGAGCCAATTTAAGACTAATTATGGGATGATTTCAAATTATGCTTAATTTTCTTGGAATTAGTTTTGCTTAGGTTGAGTAGGCTTGTAATAATCCGAAATTTTGAAAATAACTGAAAATGAAAAAAAAATGAATTCCTATTTGAATTGCAGTACTGCACCTGATAGAAAAAGAAATTTGAATTTTTATATCTGGTTCGCTTTGCCACTTTTACGAAATTTGTTCAGATCGAGGTAGGTGATTCTAATCATATCTATGTTTTCAAATATTTTGATTTTGACAGCTGACTTCGCCTCAAAACTGATTTTAATGTATTTTTTCGGCTTTATTAAACTTTTACGACACATATTTTTGTATGTTATTTTACTGATTATCACGAATATTTTGCATGTAATATTTCTAAATTTCACGGATAAAATTAGTATGATTATATCTGAATAGAAGTAAGTATTTTTATTTAAGCATACTATTAATAAAAGCATTGTGAATGAATATAGACATGTGGTTGAGTAATAGCTGGTCGTTATTACTGTTAAAAATATGTGATATTAATATGTGTGAAAACAAGTAAAAACTGGTTAACCCATTGGTTAGAGATTGATTGACCTGTACAGGATGGTGGGCCAACAGGTTTTCCTTCAAATATTATGGTTGTGTGACATCTTGTACTGATTCACATGATAGAATGAAACAACGATTAAGAGTTATAAAGATTTATTATTATACCAGCGGATAAAGAGTGACGACTCTGTTTACTGAACCAACAATAAAAAAAGCTCTAAAGCAAGCCGCAGACTGAAGCTAGTTGAGAGGGGGGGGTTGTTACCGTAAGGGATGTTGGTGATGTTAGGTTGTTAGCTGTTGGTGTGATTGCTAAAATGTCGTAATGCAGTAGTGTTTGTTGAAATTAGGAATTCTGAAATTTGTCTAGATGCTGTTGATGCTAGCTACTATTGTAGTTGTTGTTTGCATGTTGAAATTGTTGTGTACTGAATAAGTTTCTGGAATTCAGAACAGGTGCTTATTTAATTACCGAAATCAGTGTAGTTATTGCTAAAATTATGGTTTGTGTGCTAAAATTAGTAAAGGGAGACATTAAGGCTGCTAAAAATTGCCGAAATAAGTGAGAAAAAGGAAGAGGAAAAGCTAAGAGCAGGTAAGGGCATTGTTGTTTGTTGATAGTTGATGAATTTTGCTAAAATGCTGCTACAGTTGCTGAGAACAGCAGCTGAACACAGTAGGGAGATGAATTCAGGAAGAAAAAAAAATGAAGGGAAGTGAGGGAAAGAAGTTCGGTTCGGAGAGCAAAAAGAAAAGTTTAGGTTAAATGAACCCTCAGGTAAAACTATAAGAATCTTTATATAACTTGTATGATTTTATTAAAATGAATGCATGTATAAAGGAAGAAAAATTATGTTTTAGATTTAATATAAAAGGAAAAGATGTCAGAGTATTTCAGGTGAACCAAGTTACCTGACTAGCCCAAGAAAAGAAATGAGATACTCAAACTTTGGTATAGGAGATAGTAATAATTTTTATAATTTCAACCTCAAATTTTTATGATTGTGCTAACATTAATCTCAGTTTCATTACGTAATTAGTTATTGTTCATCCAGTATTTATTACAATAGCATTTTTAATAAAATGTGACTTGTATTAAAAAGGTAAATAAAAAAGCTATGAGATAAGTCGTACATGGGTGTAAGAGATAGGTCTCTCCAGATTCTCCTTCTCCGTTAAACTCCTGATTGACAGTAAGGGGAGTTAAAATGGGGTGTGACAGAGTGGGCTCTAGCCTATGGCTAGGAATTTGAGAGAGCCCGATATTCCTTTCCAATTAAAGATCCAAATCTGTCTTGTATTTTCTTCTTAGTTCTTTCAATAAAAAAAGATTTCTTATGTATTCTTCCTAAATTTCTTGTATCGTTCTCTAGTTTTGCTGAAATTACATCCACTTCCTATCATATTCCTCTTCTTCTTTTTTTTTTTCCTTTTTTCAGAATGGTTGTCTATTCCTAAGGGCAATGAGTTCATACTTCAATTTACATCCTATTTTTTCAAGTTAACTGTTTATCGTTTGTGCATGTCTGCACAGAAAAGCATAATGCAATCCACACTTCTTTTTAGAAGCTTATTGATTCTGAACACGCTTATCAAGATAGTAAGCACATATTGTCCTAATTTTCATATGATGGTAAATATAGAAAGCATCATTACTTAGAACCCATCAAAAATAAATAGAGATAAATAGTTCAATACCTTTGCTTCAGCATATTTCCACTTGACAAATAACCGATGCTTTTCTCCCAAGCCACCGCTGAATGGAACCTTCAAAATGCTATCCTGGGCCTATAAATGCAACGCTGTTTAGAATCATAGATATCAATTACATAAATGCGGGATGAGATCCAAATATGGTTTTCACAGTGTCTAATTTAGCAAAAATGATAAGCAAAAAAGTCAATAGTATAGCTGGATGAGATTATAGTTATGTTCTTACATGTGGTCAAGGATGGCAAATCTGAATGTGATGGTTTAGATATTCAATTGCATAAGTCTACGAAGTACGGTGATACTAGTTGTCATAAGGGAAAGGTCTATGGAGTTCTGCTTTTTGTAGTTATAAGGAGAATTGCACAGTTGCAGCTTAGATGCTTTATATTCGATAGAAAGAATGGTAGAATTGCATGTTATGCATGCAGCATGACCTATAGTTAGGTGGTTCATAATAATTGGTCATGAAACATAAGGTGCAAAAGAATGAGCATTGCTAAAGATTATCATACTGATAATCAGGCGATTTTTATAATATATTTCAAATGACCGGTTATTGCACTCACAAATGAAAATTAGCATTGTAATTCCACCAGGAGTGGTATAGTCTGCTTGTGAAAACGTCTAGCAGGATGGACAAAAACACAACAGTTTTGCTCCATTTATTTTTGCATAAAGATCAAAGCAATATTAAGGAATTTTATAGAACACGCCCCTGCTCATTTGGAAAAACTGTAATGGCATCTCATGGAACATAGTTCGATCAATTTCTCTTCACAATTCTCAGGCGTTTCAAATTGTTTGCAATATCAGGGAGAATCTTTTTACCCCAAGCTATGGCTTTTTTTTCTCCTTTTTTTGAATGAAAGATGGGAGCTGGTTACTATGACTTTCTTTAGTTTGAGAAAAAGAAGAGAAGGATAATGGAAATGAAAATTCTCCTTTGTATTTCATACCTCAGGAAAAAAAAAAATACAAGCAAAGAATAACGAAGGCTAGAAGATAGAAGCTCATGACCGAGAAAGTCCAATCAACAATAAGAAATATAAGCTATATCACAACAAAACCAGTTATTCTTGATACCTCCTCCTCATTCCTTCATCCATAACCTTAGGTAGATTTCCTCCTTCCATAACCCTGGCTAAACTTTATAGCAAACTGATTGCTCCAAAACATTTACCTAAGGTAGGAATTTGATAAAGACATTTGTTTAAAGAAAGAACCCTCCTAATTCGCTCATGCATCTCTGTAAGCCTGCAGAAAACAGCTTCGTCCACTCCTTTCTTTTTTCCATTTCAATTCTTCGTCATTAGGCTAGTCCCAACAGTATGAGGCTAGCTTTTTCAATCATCCTGCTAAGTATTGTGTATGGTATTAATCAACACAATTAAATTCTTGCTGTGGTTTTACTTTTTTTTCTGGCACAACATGATTCAATAACTAATAACAGCAAAAAAATGAAGTCTCAGCAAAAATACAGGCATAAAAAATAGCATTATAGCAAAGGAGAGATTATCCATCAGGAGTTCAGGAGTAGCCCCATACATTCCTCAAGTCAATAATATCAGTCATTGACCGAATTATTACGTCTTATTATGAATTTAAACCTTGGTGAATGAAGAAATACATTTTTCTATTCCCGCCTCTCCAAGCAAATAGGAATTAAAACTTCTCATCCACTTCATCTTTGACTCCTGGGAGATTTCTATCAAAAGCATACGACTGATCAAATCCCGTGCAATCAAAATCCTAAACATATCGAAGAACATTAGAAGCATGTGTTGTCACAATTGGTGAATCTAGATGATTGTTGATACTTGAAGAGGAATCCCTTTGAATTGAATTTCTCGAGAAGGCTCATTTGATAATTTTGATTGCTTGCAAATAAAAAACATGTTTTAAAAAATGATCATGTTGTTATTAATTATTTTTTATGTGAAAAATATATCATCATTTTTTTTTGGAATTTTTGAGGTGTTTATTGAGTTTGGAACTCATATTGATTTTTAATTGTTAAGGAGTATGCATCAAAAAGCATGAAAGTGTTATAGCAAGAGCCTCCTCAAGCACACAATGCTTGCATGGGAGTCCCCTGCTCTTGAACCTTGCTTGGCTATTATTAAAACTAACTAGGATCCGTAGTAGTCAAACCGCAATACTCACTCTCAACTAAAGCATTAACTATAACTTATAACATCAGTTGTTGGGCACAAGTGGTCAACACTCAAAATCATAAACTTTATGGATCAGAGCTAACCAACTATACATTTCTACACAAATATACTTTTCAAATATTCAATGCATGATTAAACATTATACCCTCATGAATAAGTGGTTTGGGAAACGTTGACATCACTCTAATACAATGTTAGAGAAAAACTCTCTTTATTATATCAATCTATTAAATATGTGGACCGATATATAGTTATTCAGGACAATAAAAATAGGAAACAAATAAAAGAAAAATTATCCTAGTTAAAGATATAAAATTACCTCCCTAATTTAATTACTTGTCAATACTAGGAACCTATTTAATACCCCAACATGTGTAACCAAGAACATTTAATGAAAACAAAATATAGTGAACTAAGATTGGACACACCAGGACACATAAGAATCAGTCCTTGAAGTAAAGTTGAAGTTCGCCAAAACAATTTATTCGTGCAAAATAATAATCAATATAGACCTAGCAAGAGAAAAACAATGGCATTCTCAAACTAGCAAATAGAAATCATTAGCAGTACCTGATGCCAATACTTGACCATTTCACAAGCTAGCCTTCTTTTGACAGCAAGCGTTGCTTTGGGACTATCAATTGCCATCTCCAATTGAATATCAACCCCCTACATGATCAAGAGAAATATTTGGTGGGCAAAGAAGTACAATGTTTAGACAACAAGGTAAAAGCCAATATAATGTAGCAAGATGAAGTCTTTCCATAATGAAAACTCTCATATTTATAAGCTGGAAGGTACACAATGATGTAAAACATGCTCCATCACATTGAAAAATAACATTTAGGTGAAACATGGTCAAAATAGTTTGGTGAATTCTTATAGAGAACATTCATCAATTCAAACACAGTAAAATCGCAAGTTCAAAATATGTATGCAGCATAATCAATGAAGAAAGCATGGAATAAGATAAACTTCAAAAGGATCGTGAAGCACACAGGATCATTTTTTAATACTTTGCTGGAATTCCATCACATAAAAGAATGAAAAAAAAAATCATAAAGTTAAAAAGATATATTATTTAAGACATTAAGCAAATAAAAAAGAGATCATAAAAAATATGAGGATCTTAAAAAGGCGAGCAGTGTTACAGTTGACGAAAGATTCATCCAAATAAAAAATTTCCAAATTACCATAATACTCCACCACACCTTACGGTCACTGAGAGACAGCTACTGTTAAAAGTAAAGGCAAAAAAAATTAAATCGATTACATTCGGCTTGAAATTTGGTTGATTTTTCTTTCATCATCTTTGACATTTCTCCAAAAAAAGTGTTTGATAAAGTACATTCAAAAGCTAGTTGGATATGAAGGTTGGTTTATTTAGTCATGCTAGATATCCGGTTAGTCCCAAAGTCAGATTCTTGCTAGTCTCAGCTCAAATCCATGGTGCATTCCAATGGTTGATGAGTTGTGCAGAGACTTTTAAGAAGAAACGTCTTATTCTTTGGCTCCATAAGTAGTGGTTTTAGTCCCATATCCCGTATGGAAGGAATTGCCTTATCCTTTGCTTATATAAGAAATAATATTTAGTTCCATATCATGTATAGAAGATGTGTTAATGGAATTCCTCGCTGCAAATATGAAATAAATCTAGTAAAAATGAATCAAGAAGAAAAGAAAAAAACAATTCCCCTTCCACTCATTTTTTGGGCTACCATCTGTGAGCCCCTTGGTTTAGAGGGTGGATTAAGGTGGGGTGCTTAGTAGCTTTCTAGCATTTAAAATTTTGCTTATAATAAGTGGTTTTGATGGTTGTGTAAGTTGCATTTTCATGTATCTTGATTACCTTTTGTACAATGCAAGCTTCATTTCTATTGTTATCATATTTTACACGGTTATTTGAGCGAAATCCTAGTACATGGTGATGTAGCACATCATATAGATGAAGATAATCAAGCTAAAAACTTAATTACAAGAACTAAAACCAAAATTTAAGAAAATGATCAAAGAAAATGCCCAATTATAAGAGTTCAACCAAGAGCCCAATAATGAGCCGATAGCTTTGAATATTTTAAATGTAATTTATATTTTATTTGTCTTCTACAAACTTATATGGCAGTCATGAAATAATTAGGTAGGGATGAAGCATTAAAAAAATGGATAGGCAGAACTCCTCTTTAATATCCACCAACCCATTCCCTTTTTTCCTCTATTTTTTCTCAAAAGTAGAGTATTCACCTTATCAACAATGAAAAATATCAAATTAAACAAGAAACTGGAGTTTAAGGATTAAATATTGATGCAGGCCCATTAAAATAGTTCATAATAGTTGCATAACCCTACTGCAGCAGGTCTTCCAAACTAACCCTAATAAATCATACAAACTGAAAAAAATAAAAAATAAAAAAAACAAGCAACACAACTTTCTGAGCCTTCACCTTATAAAAAAGAAGTAGGGCATTATAAGGCCAGTCTCTTAGGAAACACCAAATATTGACAAACATTTAATGCCGTAAACTAGCAAGAATGCCTGAAACTTTTCCTAGACCAGTCATGGAAATTGAAGACATGAACATAAAAGCCAGAGCATAAAGCTTAAACGCATAGCAGAAAATCAATAATACCTGACCCAAAGCTTGCATGCAAAGAGCATGCAACTCCTCTTCAGAGAGGTCCACAGGAAGACTTTTCCTGCAATTTGTCAAAATATCAATGAATAAAGAAGCTATCAATTTGTGAGTGCAATGGAATCATTGATCAATATAATTTCTCCTTTAAAAAAAATATCTTTTTTGAAATGCTAATCCGATTCACAGATTTCCTTCCCAGAAAACTTGAATAACTAGGCCAATGGAAAAGGATGTTGCATACCTTAATTCAAGAGGTATCTGAGGAAGAACATGGTGGATGGAACAATCCAAATATCCTGCTGCCTTCAAGAAAACATCAATGGATCTCCGCCTATCCTCTGCAACATTTTTTTGCACAGAAATTATAAAATTATTGTGAACTTGCCCAGTTAGTAAATGAATTATCATCAAGGAACTACAATAGAAAAAGTTCGCGGAGGCTGCCATAGATTTGGGATAAAGAACAGATAAGTCCATGCCATGAAAATAAAATTTTATTGTTCTTGCTTGAACAAGACATAAGTTTACATTATACCTGGGACTTCTAATGACTAGCCAAACAGTCTCTGCTTGGTTTGAAGATGAAGGTGGCTAGAATTTTCTAAGTATTATCCATTATGATAACGCTGTAATCAAAGCACAAATATATCTCAAGTAATATCAATTGATGCAACATAGGAATCCTAAGCCTAGTAGGAGAACACTAGGTATGCAAATAATCACTTCCTTTCAAAATAACTTAAACAGACACAACAATAAAAGAGGACAAAACACCACTTATAATAGAACGGACAACACATACAATTCACAAAACAAACACAACCTTAGAACACAACAACACCTTACAACTTACAAGACACAACACCACTTTTAACTTGTAAAAAACAACACGACTTATTACTTGTAATAAAACCCATACACAACACAACTTACGACCAGTCAAAATTTCAAGAAGAAATATACAAGTGAAATAGGAACCGTGCAGAGAAGAATAGATAGAAGTCCAAGACGAAATATAAGAATGAAGGTAGAAGAGGATAGCTCACAAGCTATGACAATCCCGCAGGTTTGACGTTCCAAATATTCATCACATATCTCTCTAAAATTCTCTTTCACAAAGGAATTCGGCCCCAATTTATAGGAGAAAGAAAAAGGAATAGCATTCAATAGTTCGCATAATTCTGCCACCTAAAACAGCCAATAGGAGCCTATCAAGACAGTCGATTTAATGAGTTAATGCATTTAGTATAGGAAAAAAACAAGGTGTAAATCAAACAGCCAGCAACAGGGAAAAAATAGGACTAAAGCATGGGGAAAAACAATAAGCATAGGGAAAGCCAGCAGCAGAGAAACCAAGGGAAAGCATGGAAACCGAGCAGCCACCATGGGAAGAAAAACAACTACATTGGATGACCAAACAGCCATCAAAAACCACTCCAAATCAGCCCCTACCTTGACTGCATCATCAATTAAGCCAAGCATTATAAGCTTTGGAAACTAAAAGGATGCACGATCTGAAATCTTCATCACACAACTTTCTGATGTCAACATTCAACAGATTCTTAGTATGCAGAAGTTCTAATGATGTAATGTAGAGGATTTGGTGAGAAATGTTCGATTACTCTATATTATCAAAAAAAAAAAAAAAATTGTTCATAATAAAGGGAAAGCAGAGAGCAACAATAATGTAGCAAAGCAACGTCAATACATCAAGACAGGCTTTGATAATAAAGCATCAATAGCACATAAGGCTATCTATAACCTACCTTCAGACACACGTTGTTGATATCCATCCTTAGATTTTCTAGGAAGGAGCAAATAATTGGCCTCTGCTAAGCAAAGCGTAGCCATCAAATGCAAAATTGATAGGACCTCGTACCACACATTACCAATGGTAGTTTGCTGCAAAGGAAAATCAGAAACAGTTATCATAAGTTCAAAACTATTTTTCTATTGCAAGAGAGATGCATCTAAATGTCAATGACAGGTTTCTAATAACTAGGCTTATTTACCTCATCATCATCTTCCTGATTGATCCACACAAACTGAACCTTGTCTTTTAGCTGGCTTCCTGCAAAAAACAGTTCACAAAACTCATATAGAAATAAAGAAGACATTAATCCCTTGAAAACAGGGAGAAGCCTGTGACAATGATAACATGGCATTTACCCCAATAAACTTATATCAGCAAAAGAGTCAATTAAATTACCATCTTTTGTCAATCCCAGCAGAACAGGTAGGTAATCTTCAAGAGCCTGAAGAAGATCGGAAAATGTAGAAGTTCCTGAGAGTATAACAATATGAATCAGATTCTCATCACTTGTTTAACTATCTAATTAAAAAACAAGGACTATAACTGCACAAACCATTCCGTGTAATCATCTTCTGCTTTGACTTTATAGCAGTTGTTGCCTCATGCATAGCCATGGCAACTATTCGAGTTCTGAGCGCGCTGAGACGGTTCACTACACTTTTTGGCAAGCTATCACCCAGTGGCTGGGTGAAATCTACACCTATTGGAATGCGGAATCCGGGCACAAAAACAGCCAGTTCTCCTATACTCTTAACTCGTCTCCTATTTCCCCCAGCATCACTTGGAGTTGATGCAAAGCATCCCATATTGAACCTACTTTCGGAAATATAACTGAAAATAAGTGCATAATAGTGATGCGTTAGATGCAACACCTTCAAACAACCTCCCAAGTGAGAGATTAGACAAATGAGAAAACATTAGCAGAAACAAGATATGTCAATTGTCAAATATCCCATATAATCATGAAAAACACAGATGCAGCATATTCAAACTGTTTTATTCAATCACAAAATTATTTGTGGCAAGCAGAGATATCATGAAATTAATCGCTTGTAGAGAACTTACTACAAACGGCATTAATTAGATGTCAACCAACCAAGTATTAGTAGCTCGCGTGCTGCTGGCCAGCCGCTAAAATATTTAAGAGATTATGGGGCAGTTTTGTTTGCTACGCATGGTATGGAGCGTAAAAAAATGCAGCTTTTGACAGCAATTAATTTTTGCCATATTTTTCAAAAAAATGAGCTATGAAGTAACCGTGCACTTTACTAAAAACCAAACAACAGCATGCACAAGTTGGCAAGCGAACACTCCATATTAATTTTTTAAACAATCCAAACATATCTTACATATACTCAAAAGGCTGTAAGAGAGAACACTGAAATGAAACTAGTTTCCTTACCTCTTCTAATTAGCAGAAGCAAAGTGAATTCCTCATACAGCAATTTTAGCCCTGCATGAATATGCGACAAATCAGATATGAATAATATACAAAAAGAGAAAAGAACGAAAAGCACATAAGCACCATGAAAGTAGGTTAGTTCCTTGTTTTTTTTTTTTTTTTTTTTTTTTCCGGTAAAAAACGTTAAAGTTATCACAACTTGTTGCTAAAACTGAAAACAAATGGCAAGCTATAGGCCTTACAAGTTACAAGGAAAGTCACAAATTCCGAAGAGAAAATAATGGCTTAGAAGAAAGGAAAGTATGACAGGAAAATAAAGAGATTTTGTTATGCTTTAATATATGCCACCAACAACTTGTCGGCTCAACTAGAATCAAGGATTCACAGAAATCTTATTCTTGGCAATAAAAAATGATAAAGTAAAAAAAAAAAATCTTAATAGAACAAAATCATCATTGAAATTTGAAAACTAAAGAACTGTAAGAAGCTTATCAAGCTAAGCCCAAAAAAAAATAAAAAAATTAATCCTCATACGGTTTTGAAGTTATATGCTGAAAGAAAGAGCAAAAACAACTCGAACCGATCACAAATTAATCCCGATTGCCAGGTCTGAGCTGAATAAATCGATGCTAGAGCACGAATTCTCGTGGAACAGACCAAATCGCGTCAGGGGGCAATATAAAACGACTACAATAAAAACGAAGGGAGACAAGCAATGCAAGAATAATACAAATCAGAAGCATAACATGGAAGACAAATGAGATCGGCTTGGAGATATTCACTTGGTAATCAAAAGTCAGGCTACTCTTCAGTTCCCTCTCCTCGAAGATCTCTTTACGAGGGCCTCAGCAACATCGCAAGTTGGCAGCCTCACACTCCTTTCCGATTGCTTCCAAAAACCCTAAAACGTCTGCGACAGCTAAAAACACAAACAAGTCGAACGAAGTAGAAGGAAAATATGTCCACATGGTAAGCAACGCTCAAACCTTCTAGTTTTTAAAGGGGAGAAAGATTTGAGAGTTTCGGCATTTGCTCTCTCGCTGCTGGTATGAACCTGGCAGCAGCCAGCCGTGTACGATCAGCTGTTTCCCATCGAACAACAGCTCACCATACAGGACACGTGTTCAAGCAAAATGGTCTTGATGATGGCCACGTGTTGCGGGTTCGATGATGAAAGCTCTATTCCTTGACCCGCTTATCTTTCGACGCGTATCCCCCAATCATGGACATTCGCGGGCCCTTGTATCGACTGTTTCAGTAAAATAATCCACTAATTGTTGGGGGAAGTTCTCCATTAAATATTGAGTGGCATTATTTTATATAATTACACTTTTTTAGTTAGATTTATTAAAGCAATTTCATATATATATTTGCAACTTTATTAAATAAAAGTTCTGGCAATTTGAAATTGTGTACCTCTCTAAGGATAGAGATGTCAATTCAGATCAACGAAATGGGTTGCTTGAATTCGATCCTGCTAGCTAAATGGGTCAGGATTTTCAACAAAACCAGACTCACGTGGGTTACTGGGTTGACATGACCCTACCTGACCAATTAAACGTCACATGTGATGGTCGATGAGGCTGACGGTGATTGAACCACTGGTGAGGCAGTGCAGGCGGTGAGGTCGAGTGGCTGAAGGTGACCGGTCGCGTACTCGTCGAGGTGGAGATGTTGCACGCCTGCACTGTGGCGTCCTGCAAGCCGACCGCCTGCAGACGGAGGATGTGACGGTTGACTGGCTAATGCGGTTTAGGACGACGCGCGAACGAGATTGCAGGCCTGAAACGACGAGATGGAGACTAAATGTGCCAACGCGGACGAGAGTGCTGGCCTAACGCACGTAAGGCTAAGGCACTGAGCTGATGAAACTCGGGTCAATCACGTTCTCGGGTTAACCCGGTTTGACTTCAGATTGCCGGGACAACCCAAACCCAACTCGTTTTTAAAAACGGCTCGAAAACTCGAACCCTGGCCAACTTGTTGGATTTTTGTCCATTGCTTGACTTCTACCTGACGCCGTCCTTCTGACCTCAATCATCAAACAACAATCCTTCCAACCTTCGTCGTCCACCGACTACGATCCTTCTAACTTATGTCGCCCACCGACTATAGTCATTCTGACCTCTGTCATTCGCTGACTACAATCCTTTTGAGTTACGTCGCCCACTGACTACAATCATTCTGACCTATGTTGCTTGCCGACTACGGTCCTTCTGACTTATGTTGCCCGCCGACTACATACCTTCCAACCTCGATCTCCTGTCGATTACGGTCCTTTGGACTTACGTCGCCCACCGACTATAGTCTTTTCAGACTCCATCGCCTACCGACTATGATCCTTCCGACTTACATCGTCCACCGACTACAGTCCTTCCGACCAAACAAACACATCAGTAGTGATTCTTTGTATTATCATCATGTAACGTAATCTATAAGATACATATCAAGCTAAGGTCTTCCCCCAATAAAGAGTCTCATTTGTAATCATTAATCAACATCAATACTAGTTGATTCATTCAAACTGGGGTAGGCCCCGTGGTTTTTCCCCCCTTTTTCAGGGGTTTTTTACTTAAAAATATTGGTGTCTCTAGTGAATGACACACCCTTTATTTTTATCTTTGTATGTGCTTGATATTTGTACAAAGCAAGAAGGAAGGAAGAATAGGAGGAAAGAAACTCATCTTCGACCACCGCCAGAGTTCCGCTCGACTAGCAAGTGACACCGGAATTCCGGACGCCGTCCTTCTGACCTCCATCATCAGACAACAGTCCTTCCGACCTTCGTCGCCCGCCGACTTTAATCCTTCTAACTTACGTTGCCCACCTACTATAGTCCTTCCGACCTCTGTCGTTCGTTGACTACGGTCCTTTTGACTTACCTCGCCCACTGACTACAATTCTTCTGACCTATGTTGCTTGCCGACTATGGTCCTTCTCACTTATGTTGCCCACCGACTACAGTCCTTCCGACCTCGATCGCCAGTTGATTACGGTCCTTCTGACTTACGTCGCCCACCGACTATATTATTTTCAGACTCCATCGCCTACCGACTATGATCCTTCCGACTTACGTCGTCCACCGACTACAGTCCTTCCGACCAAACAAACACATCAGCAGTGATTCTTTGTATTATCATCATGTAACGTACTCTATAAGATACATATCAAGCTAAGGTCTTCCCCCAATAAAGAGTCTCATTTGTAATCAACTGCAATACTAGTTGATTCATTCAAATTGGGCTAGGCCCCGTGGTTTTCCCCCCTTTTTCAGGGGTTTTCCATATAAAAATCTTGGTGTCTCTAATGAATGACACACCCTCTCTTTTTATCTCTATATGTGCTGGATCTTCGTACAATGCTAAGACATTAAACTTTATATTTCTCTCATTAAACTTTATATTTCTCTACCGCCGCGAATACTTCAAGATGCAAAATTTATTATTTACTTAATATTTTTCCTTGAGCGATATTTAATCATTAACTATGATATTTAAGAAATCTTGTTGATTTTTCTTTGAGTTGTTCACCCCAATTTTCTTGTAGTTGGTCAAATTTTGAGATGAAGAATTAATTAAGCAGCAGCCATCAGATATAGAAAGTGATATCTTATATATCTTTTTCTTTAATAAAAAATAATATGGGATTTGAAAAAATGGTAGAGTTAGAATTTTATAAAAGAAAATTGGCACATGAAATTTCTCTTGTATTTAATACATGAAATCAAGTAATTTTAATTATAGATAAATTACATAAAATTTCTATTATATTTAATGCAATGTTTAGTGTAGTCCTATGATGAATCATTTATCATATTTTGAACATTAAAAATCATTAATCTATTTTCAAATATTATATATTTAACATATGCCACTACTATTTAGGACAATCATTTTTTTACTATGTTAATTATCTTGCATGACATATTCACTTGATTTTTTATTTTTTTAACTATCATTAATTTTTTTATTTGTCAAAAATTTGAATCTTACAACATGATTTCGATTAGGATTGCTTATATTTTTTATTTTAAATATCGGATATTTATTTTTAAAAGTTATTATATTGATCACCATTTCTATTTTGATTCCAAATAAATATTTTTTCTAAGGTTTTTTTTATAAATATTTTTTCTAAGGTTAATTATAAAAAAGAATAGAGAAACAGTTATCTATTATTTATCATAACCTATCTTATTTTTTAATTGGAACAACTCACGCTCAACTTCGTCCGCTAATTAGTTGCGCATCAATAAAAAATTTTAATTAAAAAATAATACAAATTTAGATTTTTTTAACCCCAAAATATAACATAAATTAAAAAAAAAAAACTTTGAAGAAACTAAAAAAAATAAAAAAGCGAAAAAATGAGCTGAAGCATGTCCAAGGTACAACCAAGCTAACGAAAATCATAAACTTTTATGGTCAATATTTTGGTGTTATGCAATTCATCTTGATCTGCTTCCAACTAATAGATATTAAATTTGAAGCTTATATATATAGTATGTGTCTGAATTTAACTTAAGTTTCATTTGGAACAGTTTTCTCATTGCTTCTTAAAGTAGTTTTTTAGTATAAATAAATTAATTTTTTAAATAAAAAATAGCTTTAAAAAACATTAAGAAAGCCAAACCAAACTAAGGCTTCGTTTGGGACAGCTTTCTTATTGCTTCTTAAAATAATTTTTTATTATTAAATTTTTTATTTTTATACTAAAAAAGAAACAGTAAAAAAATTGCGGTGCTCGTTTATTTTTTTCTTGTGATTTTTCCTATGCTGTTATCACCCATCTCCTCCCGGTTTTGAACTGTTTTTTGCTGAGACCAACAATTCGGCAACTTTTTGAGTTTGTGGAGGAGATTAGCATCCTTAATGTTGTGGAAAAGAACTTATGTTATTTTGTTATTTGGTGTGTTATTTATTTTATTTGGAGGGAAAGGAATGATCGAAAATTTGTGGGGTCTCATCTATCTTTGCATGAACTGTACAAAAAGATTGCTTTGGTTATTTCATGCAAAACTTCAAAATGGAAAACTTTGGATCTGCTTCAAGCTGCGTTCCCTACTTGTTTTTTTGCTGGTGGTGGTTCTCCGAATTATTTGGGACGATGATGACTGGAACCGGCCTGTTGCCCATTGGATGGACTCCGGCTCCAGCTCTTGCGGGTCTACTCATTGGCATGGCATGTTAATTCTGCAACCTGATTTCCTGTCCGTGTTGGGCCCTTTGGCAATCGGGGCAACCTTTTGCTGCCTTTGCGGGGACAATTGAGCTTATGGCTTTGATCTGCTTGTCCTGGCTGGTTCCAATTTTGCCCGAGTCCACCGTTTTTTCCTCTTCTTCCTTTTTATAGGTTTGAAATTGTAATTTTTCTTGATCTTTCTCTCCAGCTGGTTTTTTAGACTGGGTTTTGTAAGTCCGCAATTTTTGGTATATCAATATATACAGGTTTTGCTCCAATTTTACCCAAAAAAAATACTAAGCCTTAATGACTCAAATGTCAAAAAAAGAAAAAAAGAAAAAAAAAACTATGTCCCAATCAATCTCTTGATTGATCTCTTTACTGACTGGTCCTAACTTGGGACCAAAACACCGACCAAGCACATGGTATCTCCACGTGTCAACTAATCATGCCATCAGAACCGTAGAATAGATTTCTCATGGACTTTGCGACAAAATTCCGCAAAAAGCACTTTCCTCGTTGTCACGCAATTTATAGATTGTGATTAGTCAATGAAAAAGACCAATAGCCTCTTGCCGCCAAAACAACGCCACCTGAGCATAGTTTATTTAATTCAGGAGCAAACCTTCACTAAAAAAACTTTAAACGACTATTTTTTTATTTTTTTCTTTTTTTATTTCATTAGTGGGTCAATCAAATTTAAGAAAATATTGTCCACTTTTATTTGAGTTCTTTTCTTTTAAATAAAATATATCATATTTATTTTTTACATGCAATTTATATAATGATTACTATTTTATTTGGGACGACTTTCTTAATATTTAAAGTAGTTTTTTAGTACAAAATTTAAAATTT